TGGGTAGGTAGATGGATGGATGAATGACTGGATGGATGGATTTATGAATGAGTGGGTGGGTAAGTAGATAAATTGATGGGTGAGTGGATGGATAGACTGATGGATGTGTGGGTGCTGGTTAGCTGACTTTGGACTCCAAAAGCACTAACTGAGGAGAATGGAGACTCCCAGGACTGGGTGAACCCCAACCTTCTCGGGCTCACATTTACTATCTTCCCACCTGGCAGAAGAAAACATTTCCTGACCATCTTCACAAAACCCCCTAAAATACTTATCACTGAAGGGTTGACTCTTCTTGCCAGGGAGTCATGAGGGACTTTGCTATCCTGATTTCTTACAGGCAACAGGTGGTCACATGCAGAGACTACAGTCAACAGGCCTCAGGCAGAACAAACTGTGCACTGGCCATCCTTGAGACAACAGAGCCAGCCCTCCCATGAGGGCTTCCCTGACCCTGATCCCTCCGCCCAGCCCTGCCCGGCAACTCCCGGAGGCTGGCTCATCCATATCCCTTCTCTTGCAGGCTCTCCAGTAATAGTATTGGTGATGGAGGTTCCAAGGCCCTGGCCGAGGCTCTGAAGGTGAACCAGGGCCTGGAGAGCCTGGAGTGAGTCCATCTGACCCCTGCCAGGGTGACGAGTCCCCCTGCGTTCTCTTTCCAGTAGATGGTGGGCTGGCAGTCCTGAAATATGGCTGTCCCCCAGGGCCATTTCCCTGCCAACATCAACCCTGGATACACACTGCCCTCAGTGCCCCCTGCCCCACTAGCTCCATTTCCCTAGACAGTGGGGGCTGGGGTGGAGTCTGGAGTGTTTGGAATGATGAGCTCCAAGTGTCCTTGAGAAGCCAGCATGGGTGGCTAGAGAGGGAGTCAGCTGTAGCAGCTTTGGTGGCGGCAGGAGAGCTCAGCGCTGCAGCTACACTTGCGCAGCCTGCTGCACCACTCCCTCTGGGGGCTGCAGACCCAACACACCCTGCTCTGAGGCTGTTTGGGGCCACCCACATCAAGGCAGGGTCTAAATTTGGGGGTTTGTTGCGCTAAACCCACCTGCCCTCACCTGGCAGGGGCTAGGTGAGGGGATGGGCAAGGAAAGAGAGATGAGGAGAGGAGCAGTGTGGCTGCCACTGTCCCTGGAGCCCCTAACTCCCTGTTGAACCCAGTGCCTGCTGTCCCAGACTGGACAGTGCAGCTCCCTCTGGGTCCTGCGACAGCCACACCCAGGGTGCCTCCTTCTCTGTCCGCAGTCTGCAGAGCAATTCCATCAGTGACGCAGGAGTGGCAGCACTGATGGGGGCCCTCTGCACCAACCAGACCCTCCTCAGCCTCAGGTAAGTCCCGGTCACCCTCTCCAAACATGGCGTTTCTTTGACCGGGCACCTGTCTGCAGGGACTTGGCACTGGGAAGCCTGTCTCAGGGATATCTATTGCTGGGGAAGCCTTCCTGGCAGCCTGGCCCTCTTCCTGATTTCTTGGGGTGCAGGGGACAGCTGCTGCTCCCTTCCCAGATGCACGCTGAGCCACCTGTCCCCTCGCACCTCTGGGGCCCTGTCATCCTATCCTCTCCCTGGACTGTGGATGGTCCTAAAGCGGGGGCGCCTGGCTGGCCCAGCACTGGCTCGCTGGCATTGGCTCCTTCACACCTCAGCCCAGACTGTGCAGAACCCTAGGTCCCCTGCCTACAGTTTCTTGGGCTTCCAGAAGCCTAAACATCTGGGCTTGGCTCTGCCAGATGCCTCATCTGCCCGGTCAGAAGCTCAGGTCTTCCCTTTTTTTTCAGCCTTAGAGAAAACTCCATCAGTCCCGAGGGAGGCCAGGCCATCGCTCATGCCCTCTGCACCAATAGCACCCTGAAGAACCTGGAGTACGTGGTGGGGGCCTGTGACTCCACAGGCTGTTCATGCCATGACCACACCCACACCAAGCCTGGGCTGACGGGCACCCTCGCTGCATCACAGGGTTGGAGAAGGAGCTGGCTGGGGAGGGTGCAGCCAGGTTACCTGGCATCAGGTGGCAAGTCCCCCACTCTCATAGTGTAAATTGCATGAGGGTGAGGCTGGTATGACACCATCTGCCTCACCTGGTGGGGATGGATGAGGATGCGATCATGCCATTGGGCAGCGTATCCCCAGGAAGCTCCCCCACGTCCTGGCTGTGTGACCTGGCATTGAGCCCTGGAATCCCTGGTGACCAAGGACCGGAGGCTTCACAGCCAGGCCCCCGCTCACTTGCTCCTGTTCCCTTTCTCCTAGCCTGACAGCCAACCTCCTCCACGACCAGGGTGCCCAGGCCATCGCAGTGGCAGTGAGAGAAAACCGCACCCTCACCTCCCTTCAGTGAGTCTGCAGCTCTCCACCCTGCCCTGTCCCCCTTCTGCAGAGCTGCTGGGCTCCACCCAAACCAATGATATACAGGCCAAGCCTGGTGTGGGGACACCCCTTGCAAAGGTCTCAGGGGCTGCCCAGGCTAGACTGCTGCCAGCAGACTGTGCCCCATCCTGTGCTCTCCTGACCCACAGACAGACATGTGTTAAGAGGTGGTCACAGCTGGGCCACCAGGCGCCCATGCTTCATTTGGAGGCGTCTTTCCTTGCTTATTCCCCAGCCCTCTGGCCACGGTTCACCAGGGAGTACACGTGACCCTCTGAGAACTAAGCCTGGGCAGGGGTTGCAGGAATTCTCCTGCCACATCCTGCAGGGATTCCACCCCCTGCCATCAGAGCCTCCTTGGCTCTGTCCCAGGGCCACATAGTCACATAGTCACATGTGTCTGTGTCTGCCCAGCCTGCAGTGGAATTTCATCCAGGCCGGCGCTGCCCAGGCCCTGGGACAAGCACTACAGCTCAACAGGAGCCTCACCAGCTTAGAGTAAGTTGGCCTGCCCAGGGGCTGCAGGGTGGGGGCTGTCGGGGACAGGTGAACCTGCTGGTACCCACCAGGGAGAGGCTCAATCCAGTGACCCTTGGCACACAGCCTCCTCTTCCCTAAGGCCAGTGGGCACGTTTCAGTCCTTGTCTGCCTTTTAAATATATTGGACGGGTGCGTTGGCTCACGTCTGTAATCCCAGCACTTTGAGAGGCTGAGGCATGTGGATCATCTGAGGTGTCGGGAGTTTAAGGCAAGCCTGGCCAACATGAGGAAACCCCATCTCTACTATAAATACAAAAATTAGCCAGGCATGGTGGCACATGCCTGTAATCCCAGCTACTTGGGAGGCCGAGGCAGGAGAAACGCTTGAATTTGGGAGGCACAGGTTGCAGTGAGCAGAGATCATGTCACTGCACTGCAGCCTGGGTGGCAGAGCAAGACTCTGTCTCAAAATATATATATACACACACACACACACATATATACACACATATACGTACACACACATATATATATACACACACACACACATATACATATGACAGCTTTACTGAGATATAATCTTCACGCCAGAAGATCTGCCCGCTTAGTATACAGTTCACTGGTTTCTAGTGTATTCAGTGATGCAACCATCACAATCAATTTTACAACATTTCTATCACCCCAAAACGAACCACTGTCCCCGTTAGCACTCACTACCCATTCTCCCTTTCCCCCAACCCTGGCAACCACAAATCTACCGTCTCCATGATCTTCCTACCCTGGACACTGCATATAAATGGAATTGTGCAACACGGCCAAAAATGGAATCATACGACACATGGCCTTTTGCCGCTGGCGTCTTTCATTTGGTGTCAGATTTTCAAGGTTCATCCACATTGTAGCCTGTCTCAGTACATAGTTCCTTTGTAAGGTTGAATGATATCCATTGTATGAGTATACAGGTTTTATTTCTCCATTTATCAGCTGATGGACATTGGGTTGTTCCTATTTGGCTGTTAGGAACGGCGCTGCTGTGGACCTTTGTGCACAGTTTCTGTGTGGACGTGAGCTTTCCTTCTCCTGGGTGGATATACCTGGGAGTGGAGTCTCTGGGGCGTGAGGGAACTCTAGGTTTAACCCTTGGAGCCTCATTGGTCTTTCTCCTTGACCATTTCTTCTCCTTCAGCTTCCAGGATGTCCCCTCTAGCTGGGCCTTGTCCTCTTTTCTTCTGTTTGGCTCTTCAGCGCAGGGCTCCTCAGGGATCTGTCCCATGTCATCTTCCCTTGCCTGGCACCTCTTTTCCTGGAGCTCTTCTTTCCCTGGGCTCCAGTGATCTTTAAAGTCCTAACGACTCCCATGTCCATGTCCCAGGCCTCTCTCCTGAGCCCCAGACTGGCACGTCCACACTCCCTCTGCACCCCCCCTCAGGGTCTTGCTGGGGTGCGGGGTCCCTGCATTCTCTCTCCCAAAAACCTGCTTCTTGGTTCCCCATCTTGTGAATGGAACCAACTGTGCAAGCTAGAAACAAGGACTTCACTCTCACCTCCCACTTCCTTTTCTATAATTTTTGTTTTACTTTATTTTTGAGATGGAGTCTCACTCTGTTGCCCAGGCTGGAGTGCAGAGGCATGATCTCAGCTCACTGCAACCTCTGCCTCCTGGGTCCAAGCGATTCTCCTGCCTTAGCCTCCCGAGTAGCTGGGACTACAGGTGTCCAACACCACGCCTGGCGTTTTTTTGTTTTTTTGTTTTTTTAAATAGAGACAGGGTTTCACTATGTTGGTCAGGCTGGTCTCGAACTCCCGACCTTTAAGTGATCCTTCCACCTTGGCCTCCCAAAGTGCTGGGATTACAGGCATGAACCACCACATCCAGCATGTAACTTATTTTTTAAAATAATATTTACAATTTGTTTTTAAGAGATGGGGCCTCACTATGTTGCCCAGGCTGATCTTGAACTCCTGGGCTCAAGCGATCCTCCCATCTTGGCCTCCCAAAGTCCTAGGATTACAGGTGTGAGCCACTGTGCCTGCCCACCTCCTGCTTCCTATTCACTGTCAAGTCCTGTTGGGTCAGTCCCCTCTGTGTCCCTGCCACCCACTCGATTCCCTTTGCGTCCACTGCCCCCACCCAGGCCGTCGGCACCACTCACCTCCATCCCTGTGGCAGCCTCCACCTCAGTCCATCCTCTCACACTGCTGGCTAGAGACCTTTCCAAAGCAGCTCTGTTCCATCTTCGGTGCCATCCTTGAATGGCTGCTCAGGGCCTGCAAAGTAAAGTACACACAGCCCCTCAGGGTGGCTTCTGGGGCCCCTAAAATCTGCTTCATTTGTCCCTCCCTGGAGTCATTTCTCACTTCCCCAGGAACTCAATTCATTTGGGTTCCTTAGCTGAGCCAGGCACACTCCCCACTTTGGGTTTGGGTTTTGATTTGTTTCTTCTGGGGAGCCTTCTGCGGACACCCTGGGGTGGGAGACACTGCTTGCTTTTCCCTGCAGCCTGCACTTGGCCTGTTGTACCTGTTCATTTAATCATGTCTTCCCACCTGAGCTTCGAGAAGGGGACTCAGGTCCACTGCCTTATACAACCCCTAGCACAGGAGACGCACTGAAATGTTGTCTTTTTTATTTTATTTTAATTTTTTTTTTTTTTTTTTTGAGACGGAGTCTCGCTCTGTCGCCCAGGCTGGAGTGCAGTGGCCGATCTCAGCTCACTGCAAGCTCCGCCTCCCTGGTTTACGCCATTCTCCTGCCTCAGCCTCCCGAGTAGCTGGGACTACAGATGCCCTCCACCACTCCCGGCTAATTTGTGTATTTTTAGTAGAGACGGGGTTCTACCATGTTGGCCAGGCTGATCTCGAACTCCTGACCTCAAGTGATCCACCCATATCAGCCTCCCAAAGTGCTGGGATTAAAGGCAGGAGCCACGTGCCCGGCCACACTCAAATGTCTATTAAAATAATGAACGCAAACATAATGAACGCCTTGAATGTATCAATGTGCACCTGAGCTAAACTCAGTCACTCATTGCACCAGGGCCTGCTAGTTCCCTCCAATTTAGAAGGGGGAAAAATGACACAAAACCCTAATTAGCAAGAATGGCCAAGGAGGTCGGGCATGGTGGCTCCTGCCTATAATGCCAGCAATTTGGGATGCCAAGGTGGGAAGACCGCTTGAGCCCAGGAGTTCAGGACCAGCCTGGGCAACATAGTGAGACCCCATCTCTACAGAAGAATAAAAATATTAGCCAGGCATGGTGGCATGTGCCTGTAGTTCCAGTCTCTATTTAAGTATTTTAGTCTCCTTGGGAGGCTGAGGTAGGAGGATCGCTTGAGCCTGGGAGGTTGAGGCTGCAGTGAGCTGTGATATCACCACTGCATTCCAGCCTGGGTGGCAGAGTGAGACCCTGTCTCAAGAGAAAAGAAGACAAACAAGAATGGCTCAGGGATTCAGGGCTTTAAGTTCATTTTCTGGTTGGCTGTGAAATGCAACCCTTTTTGGGTCCCAAGCCCCTACTGACAGTCACTCTATGTGTCCCATTTCCTGCTTGCCTCTGGCGATTCAGACTCATGCAGGCCCCCAGACCCTTCTGTGTGCTTAGTATGAGGCAGCGGGCTGCAGGGCCTGTAGAAGAAGGGCAGTTATCCCCAGGCAAACCCTGGGAGTCTATGTCTATGGTGTGTGTAGTCAGTTAAACCTGGCAGGTCCAAGCGTGGCAGGGCCTTGCTAGAATGCTCCGTGTGCCCCATGCACCCAAAGGGGTCACACTCTGTGTCCAGTTTACAGGAGAACGCCATCGGGGATGACGGAGCGTGTGCGGTGGCCCATGCGCTGAAGGTCAACACAGCCCTCACTGCTCTCTAGTAAGTCCTAGATGTGCGCAGCAGTCAGGTAGCCGGCCCCTTCACCATCCTTTCATGTTAGAGGATTTTTTTTTTCCTCTCAAGACAAGACTCTTGCCCTGCCGCCCAGGCTGGAGTGTAGTGGCGCAATCTCAGCTAACTGTAACCTCCACCTCCTGGGTTCAAGTGATTCTCGAGCCTCAGCCTCCCAAGTAGTTGGGATTACAGGCGTGCGCCACCACACCCAGCCTAATTTTTGTATTATCAGTAGAGACGGGGTTTCACCATGTTGGCCAGGCTGGTCTTAAAATCCTGACTTTAGGTGATCTGCCCACCTCAGCCTCCCAAAATGCTGGGATTACAGGTATGCGCCCACACACCTGACCTAGACGTTATTTTTGTTTACAAGTCAAGGAAGGTGTATTTGATTTTCCTAGTATTATTATAGGAAATATTACATTAGCAACTGGGGGCTCAAACACCTAGATAGTAGTAATGAGGAGGTGCAAGGAGCGTTCTCCCCGAGCCCTTCCAGGGATAGCCTCTATTTCTTGTATCCTTAGCATCCAGATTTCTGTCTTAGGCAACAGTGTAGATAGGAGATGGAGTGCCTAGACACAGCGCTGGCCAACCATTCTCAGTGCTGTTTCTCCACTTTCCACCCTGAATCAAGGGGTAGTGAAAGGGAACGGAGTGTGTGGAGGGAGGTGAGCCCAGCCGGCCCACATTGACGGCACCCTCCCCACCCCAGTCTCCAGGTGGCCTCCATTGGTGCTCCGGGTGCTCAGGTGCTAGGGGAAGCCTTGGCTGTGAACAGAACCTTGGAGATTCTTGAGTAAGTATTCCAGTCTCCAGCTATGGTCTTCAGCCCCCCCAAAAAACAATGAATCCTTAATGAATAGATATGGGGACAAAGTTTACAGGTAACTCACAAATCATCCTAGTGATCTTCATTTCGGCACAAGTGTACCAGCTTCCCAGCCCCACTTCATGCCTCTTCCTGGGAGTCGCTATCATTTGCCCTCCTCTCCGGGTTGGCCTTGCCAGGCTGAACACATCTAGAGGCCCAGTTTACGGGTCCCGGGGTGGCTGATCTTGTTCTCTGGGCAGATCCAAAGTCCTGGGGTGAGGCTACAGCTCTGAGGCTCAGGCATGTCCTCAGAATTCCTGCCCTTGCTGGGGGCACTGGGGACCTGCCCGGATGGAGGGCTGCCTCTCTTATCTCAGCCCTGCTTTTCTGTTTGGAGTGGAAGAGGAGGAAGGCTCCAACAACCCACCTGGCTGGGCCAGCCATGCCCCTTCCTGTGTGCCCTGCTTCCCACAGCCAGCTCTGCCCTGCTGCCCTGGAGTGAGGAAGGCAGAGTCCTGGTCTCCTGTGACTGCTGAAGTCCTTGTTTCCTCTACCAAGTAGCCCCAAGCCCACCTGCAGAGGGGTCAGGATCACCTCTCATCCTGTACCCATGCCTTAGGCTTCCTGTCTTTCCCCACAGCTTAAGAGGAAATGCCATCGGGGTGTCTGGAGCCAAAGCCCTGGCAAATGCTCTGAAGGTAAACTCAAGTCTCCGGAGACTCAAGTAAGTGGCTGGAGGGCCTTACCTGCATCCTGGAGCAGCAGAGTTCTCTGCTGTGTCCTCCTCGATGGGATAAAATGCTTCTGATTTCCTCTGCAGCTACTTCCTCCTGAATATAATCAGACTTATTATAGTACACATTCCACTGCAGCTGGGTTTGTTGAGTCTGCTTAGCTTCAGTCAGAAGTCACTCACATCTGCATTTATGGTCTTACATCCTCCATCGCACTTGGGTGGGACAATCTGGCCACTTGTAGACACCTGTCTCCAGGGTCAACTCCCACCTGGCGTTGCCATGGCACTTGTCGATACATCTGCCTGGGTTACTGCCCCCAGACAATGCAGTGTTGCTTCCCCGGGTGTTTCCTTCTGCCCTGATGGCTCACCGTGTGTCTCCATCTCTTCTCCACTTAGTCTTCAAGAGAATTCCCTGGGGATGGGCGGGGCGATATGCGTTGCCACGGCACTGTCTGGAAACCACAGGCTCCAGCATATCAAGTGAGTGCACCTGCCCTTCCTGCTCGCCCTTAGAACTGCTTCCAGGTCACGCATTGCCTTTTGCTCAGTTCTGAGAGTCAGCTGACCCCCAGGCCCCTCAGCAGCCCTACAGGGAAACCTGGTCTAAGGGGGGCTACCCTGAGCCTTGTCCATGTAGCGAGGGGATCCTAGAAGCACAAAGGCTTTGCATGGGGTCCTGCATTTTCTATCTTACGACCTGCTCTACTAAAGAGAACCTGCAGGCTTCAAGCCCTGCCTTAACTGTTCTCTTCTAGCCTCCAAGGAAACCACATTGGGGACTCCGGGGCCAGGATGATCTCAGAGGCCATCAAGACAAATGCTCCCACGTGCACTGTTGAAATGTGAGCAAAAGGAGTTCCTGGTGGATGGAGCGGGAGGATGGGCAGAGACTCAGCTGGAAGCTTTTGAACAGAAAGGCCGACATCTGGGGACCTGCTGGGAGCTGGGAATGCTGCTCACTCAACACGAGAGTGGGGCTCTGCACGGAGAAAGGAGAGGTGCTGCCAGAGGAGGTCGTGAGCTCCCTTCCTGGTGCAGGAGTGGTTCAGGCAGGGGGCGACGGGTACTCTGCTATGGCACAGAGGAGGGACGGGGCCACCACCAAGGGACTAGGGGACAAAGGCCTGAAGCTCAGCAGTGTAGGAGGCTGGTTCCAGCTTATTTACACCCTGAGTACTTCATATGCCCCCTACCTTTAAAAATGTTTATTACTGCCCTGTTCCACTCACCTGGTTAAAAATCATCCCATGCTCTGAGATAAGCTGCCATCTCAAGCCCGTGAGGAGCATCCATGTGGCAGGGGCGACAGAGGGGACCCTTCTTTATTTTTTCAAGAAGAAAGTTTTAGGGTATCATCCTTACAGACATGAAAAAATTATAGGAAAATTGTGAAGATAAATGAGTTTTAATTCTAGAATTCTGGAAACAGAGACAATAGAGTTCTCCAAGGATTCTGCCTTTTTTTTGTTTGTTTTTGAGATAAGTCTTGCTCTTGTCACCCAGGCTGAAGTGCAGTGGTGCAATCTTGGCTCCCTGCAACCTCTGCCTCCCAGGTTCATGTGATTCTCCTGCCTCAGCCTCCCCAGTAGCTGAGATTACAGGCACCTGCCACCATGCCTGGCTAATTTTTGTATTTTTAATAGAGATGGGGTTTCACCATGTTGGTCAGGCTGGTCTTGAACTCCTGACTTCAGGTGATCAGCCTGGGCCTCCCAAAGTGCTGGGATTACAGGCGTGAGTCACCGCACCTGGCCCCATTTTTTATTTATTACAAAATCAAAGACGTGGGTGATACCTGGCACATGTTATCTGGAGTCTGGCACACTGGTAATCAATAGCACATTCAATGTATTCAGTGATGTCATTCTTTCTTTCTTTGTTTTTGAGACAGAATCTGTCACCCAGGCTGGAGTACAGTGGCGTAATCTCAGCTCACTGCAGTCTCTACCTCTTGGGTTCCAGTGATTCTCCTGCCTCAGCCTCCCAAGTAGTTGGGTCTACAAGCACACACCACCACACCCAGCTAATTTTTATATTTTTAGTAGAGATGGGGTTTCACCATGTTGATCAGGCTAGTCTCAAACTCCTGACCTCAAGTGATCTGCCCACCTCAGCCTCCCAAAGTGCTGGGATTACAGGTGTGAGCCACTACACTTCCTTATTAGGCTTCCAAAGCCACTGCTGTGGCCACAGATTCCATGGAGACAGGCAAGCTGAGCCTCTATGTGGCACCAATTCCTGCAGCTGTTTGTGTTGGAGGGAAAAAAATCCAAATGGACATCACAGCTCTCATCAACTAAATAACCACAGAAAATATTTATTAAGACTATAAAGCAATGATCACTTCTGAATTTGAAAGGAATCGCTATTTGAAATGTTTGTTCAAAAGTGAGCATCTGGATAGGATGCTGACATGGATGCTAAGGCCATGGATGAAGGCCTACTTGGGAAGATGATATCCTTGCAGTCTCAAAACAGCACCCCACAAAGGTGATGTCCTAATTTACAAAGGGAAAAAGGTACCTTTAATCTGAAATCTGGCAAATGCAGCCTCAATGGAAGTGACAGAATTGAACATCGCCAATAATGGGACACATGGACATCACGTGCCCCCAGTCTGACGCAGCACGGAGTCGTCTCTGATGTATTCTTGTCAAAAACTGTTTGCCTGATTCTAATCATTGAAGGAACAATTAGAAAAAAATCCAAATTGACAAATATTCTGCAGAATAAATGGCCTGAACTCATAAAAAACATCAATGTCACGAAAAATGCAAAACGTTGCAGATAGCGTGAAATTAAAGATTACAGAGATATAACTTAATGCAAGATCTTTGACTGGATCCTAGACTGGAGGAAAAAGTCTGTTACAAAGAACATTTGGATCACTTGTAGTAGCTGGGAAATAAAACAAAACATTATTTGTAAAAGGGGGGAAATCTGAACATGGGTCTTGCAGTATTTATTAGTTTTTGCTGGGCATAGACTTCTAGATTGACAGCTGTTTTAGTACTTTTAAGGTGATGCTCTGTCTGCCGGTTTGCATTGTTTCTGTCTGAGTTAAGAGCTTAGCAGAACAGAGTTGCAGTAGCCAAACGCTGGAGAAAGCTGGGCCCTACAGAAACCTAACACTGAAGGAACCTCAGGAGCCAAAGTGGTGGAGAAAACAAACAGTCCTCCCTCTCTCCCTTTTCAAATAATGTTCATACATCTTCAAGCTGTCTGAAATGGTTAAAGAGTTCAGTCTGTCGTCAGGGACACACCAGAGCCAGCTAGCCCACACAGACCCCATCAGAGCAAAACAGACAAGACAATTTAATTCATATCCACACAGAAAGGACTTCTAGATAGGAGGTAGACCCTTTAGCTCCCTTCCAATTAAAGGAGTCCTCAATTCTAGCACCTGAGAGTCCCCTGGGTCTAACAGCTGTGATATTTATGTAGTGTGTTGCTTACCTAAATGAATACAATTTCCTTCCAGACATGTGACACTGATATTAAAGTGCTAATGAGAGGGATCTGTTTCTTCTTGTCCAAGCTAAAAGAGAAACAGTCGTTCAGATTTCCCATCAGAAGTCCGAGGACTTTGTTCTTGATAACTACTACCAATAAAAATTGAGTATTTGAAAAATTCCTTTGTATTTTCCATCAATACACATTTTTTAAAGCATTTGTGGAAGTCCTCTAATTATATAGTAAAAAATTATCAGCGATGGCCTGCTAGTTTTTTATTGACCTAATCACAACCATCCTCCTTAGGTCCTGAGGTCTGCTCTACTGCTTGGCCAAAACCAAATGGTGCCAGGTCATAAAGCACTTGCACATGTGACTCCTGGATCCATTCTACAATGGGTCACCACTTTAGTAATGACCCACTACAATGGGTCATACTTTAGTAAAAATCATAGAGTACACACAGCTTGTTGTTGACAGAAACTTCCTTGCTCAAGCAAGGCAGTGCTATACATGGTGAGACTTTGCATAAAGTCAGTTAACTAACAGATGATCTAGAAGCAGGTGACACAATGAAATACCCTTTGGAACTGTTGCCTATGTCTGTGGATGGGCTCTTTGTAGCTAGGTTAGGCTTCTGTGTTAAAGTGCGTTAGAAGAAAGCATCACATAACGAAAACAGAACTCTATTTGTATGTTTTTTCAAAACAGAAGTCAAGTCACATTCAGGCAAACCAATTCCGTAACATCCAAAAGGTGCAGTGACTCTTCTGCGTCTTGGAACCACGGCGTCTGAGGTGGCTAGCATGGCTTCAACACGCTGGCTTCCCTGTCAGCGGATCGTTTACAATATGGTGCATTTCAAATTACTGGTGAATTCACTGAATGCTGGCTTTTTTTTTTTTTTTTAAAGGGGTAATCTTATACATAAAATTTACGAAAAGAAAGAGAAAAAAGCAAAAATGACAGAAATAATTGTCGAAAGTTCCTAAAATTTATGTGTATCTTTTCATACTTGTGAACTCCTGAATAAGTATTTATATCTGACAGGTACAAATAAAATAATTATGCTTTTAAGTAAAACCTATTTAATAATATGAAATACGGTGTTAAATACATTTATTAAAAGTAACTTCAGAAGTCTTCTGACTTTTTAATTGTAAAAATAAGTGAAAACTGTTTTGTGCTTTTCTTTTTAATTTACTGTATGCTTTTTTTTTTTTTTTTTTGAGATGGAGTCTCACTCTGTTGCCCAGGCTGGAGTGCAACGGTGCGATCTTGGCTCACTGCAACTTCCGCCTCCTAGGTTCAAGTGATTCTCCTGCCTCAGCCTCCCCAGTAGCTGGGGTTACAGGCATGTGCTACCACGCCTGGCTGATTTTTGTAGTTTTAGTAGAGATGGGGTTTCGCCATGTTGGTCAGGCTGGTCTCAAACCCCTGACCTCAGGTGATTCACTCGTCTCGGCCTCTCAAAGTGCTAGGATTACAGGCGCTGGCCTACTGTATGCTTTTTACAAGCAGTGTGCTATTTATTTATTTATTTATTTATTTATTTATTTATTTATTTTTGAGGCGGAGTCTTGCTCAGTTGCCCAGGCTGGAGTGCAGTGGCACCATCTTGGCTCACTGCAAACTTTGCCTCCCGGGTTCACACCATTCTCCTGCCTCAGCCTCCAGAGTAGCTGGGACTACAGGCGCCCGCCGCCACGCCCGGCTAACTTTTTGTATTTTTAGTAGAGACGGGGTTTCACCATGTTAGCCAGGATGGTCTCCATCTCCTGACCTCATGATCCGCCTGCCTCGGCCTCCCAAAGTGCTGGGATTACAGGCGTGAGCCACCGCGCCCGGCCTTCTTTTTCTTTTTTTTAAGATAGGGTCTCACTCTGTCACCGAGGCTGGAGTGCAGTGGCACAATCACAGCTCACTGCAGCCTCGACCTCCTGGTCTCAAGTGATTCTCCTGCCTCAGCCTCCTGAATAGCTGGGACCACAGGCATGCCCCTCCACACCTGGCTAATTTTTAAATTTTTTGTAGAGATGGAGTGTCACTTAGTTGTCCAGGCTAGTCTAAAACTCCTGGGCTCAAGTGATCCTCCCACCTTGGCTTCCTGAGTAGCTGGGCCCACAGGCGCTTGCCACCATGTCCAGCTAAGTACTTTTCATATTAAAAAAAAAAAAAGAAGAAAAAAGAAAAAAAACCAACTCCACTTCTAATTTCACAACAGAAAAATCTTCTAGTGCTACTACTCTACCTAATTCAATCCTGTGTTGTTGTTTCTTTAAGTCAGAAACATGAATCTGTACCAACACCTTTTTCTTAACAGGCTCCTTCCCCTACAGAAACACTTAGGTAGCGAGCTGCAGGAAACCTGCCTTTGTCCCTGTGTTGTGCACTATATCTTTCCACACTTTAGACAAAACAAAGCTCCTTTAGAGAAACCCTGGCTGGAGGCAAGGAGAGTGTCCCGGCTGTCATTGCCACGGGAGTCTGGAGTCTCCAAGAAGGCAGCTCAGGTCACCAGAGTTTCCAAATTTAGTACCAGCCGTGGAAACATGAAGGTGGCTGTAATCCAAGGTGAACTTGACTCCCAGAAGAATGTCAGCTTTGGAGAGAAAATGGAGGATTCCTCATCTGGAGCCTGTCTCTATCACCTGATTTTCAAGGAAACCCAGTTTTCATTTAACTTTAGCTAAGCTTCTTTTCAGAAAATTGTAGTTATTAAAATACATTTAATGTCTGGTATTGTGAACATGCAGAAGAAAGAAAGATGACAAAATGAAATAAGGGCTAGAATTAAAAGCCGAAGTACAGGAAATGTTCTCAACTGTGCAAGTGATTAACAGCTAGATGTCCCCCTACGATTCTGAACATGAGTCCTCAGTGCCAAGTTCTAGCCTCAACTCTGCTGGACTCTCGGAGAAAATGTATAGTAACAAAAGCAGCCAAGACTTGTGTGGCGTCAGCTCTTATTTCTCCTTGAGATTTTGTCCCGTGGATGTGAATCACTAAGAACACATGCATTCCTCAAGTTTTAGGAGATAAATAAGGTGAAAAAAAAATCTTAGGGATTTGTTTCAATTCTTATTTAAGCTTCATGGAATGCAAACATAGGAGGCTGAAGCAGAAATAAGTATTGCTTCAGTAACCATGAGTCCAGCCAGCTTAGTGAACAAAACAGGTGTTACCTTCCTAACCTTCTAAGTTCTCATTTACCTACAAGTCTGAGGGTTTTAATCTGCCAAGGTCCCTTGGCAAGAGGGTCAGAAGTCATTGTCACTCTCATCCAAGGGTTCAGGTTTCCGGACCCTTCGATTGGGCTTGGTTGGTGAGAGAGAAATGCTCTCATCTTCCAAATCATCATCCTCATCATCATCTTCCATGTCGATTTCACTCTCCTCCGAGTCCTCCTATAGGAAAAAAATGGCAGATGCAACAGGGGGTTCCACCTCATTCCTGACATCTTGTCCTAAGATTTTCTGCCTCCCTTTCTATAGCAGCATCCCTGTGTGAAGGAAGAGGCCGGCAGAGTGGCAGGCAGGCTGTGGGAGGGCATATGGATGGGACCGAGGCGATGTACTGCTGGCTGGAATTTATCATCCAACCAGAATCCTCCAAACTCCAGGTGCATCTGAGTGTGGTGCTGCAGGGGCTGGCTTTCCCACAGTGTCTCAGAAGCACTCTGGATCTGCATTGAGGGCCAATGGACGACAAGGGCTTGGAGAGAGGGAAGGGCGGCCTATTTTGGCTTTTTGCAGATTGTGGATAGAAAGCAACACAGGCATGGGTATAAGGAGTGAAGTGAATCCCAGCTACTCAGAAGGCTGAGGCAAAGAGAACTGCTTGAACCTGGGAGACGGAGGTGCAGTGAGCCGAGATTGTACCACTGCACTCCAGAGCAAGACTCTGTCTCAAAAAAAAAAAAAAAAAAAAAAAAAAAAAGAAAGGGAGCAAAGTGAAAGACACACCTTCTCCCTCCTCATCAGATCCAGGGTGACCAACTCAGCCCAGCTTTAAAATGGCAAGTCCTGCGTCCCATGTAAACCAGGATGGCTGGTCGTTCTATCTAGATCATTCCCCTTGGTGCACACAAATGCTGTAATTTCCTTCTTGGAAAAAAACCCAAATGTAATCCCATTTTCCTCTCCAGCTGCTCTGCCCTGTCTCTCTCCCCTCACACACAGCTCCTGAGCGAGTCGTTGAACTCACTGTCTGCACCTCTGCCCCTCACGAATGCTTCAGTTCCCCCGGGCTCTCACCCACTGACCCCAGCACTGCTCCTATCACGACGGAGACATGCAGTGGATTAGGATTGATTCTCAGGCCTCATTCTGCTTGAGCTGTGGAATCACCCCTTCATCCTTAAAACCCATCTTCTCCATCCCCCAGGGCCCCTTCTCTAGTCCAGGTCCCCCTCCCTCACTGCTGACGCCCCCCAGCCTCCCCTGCCTGTCCCTTCCTCCCCGACCTCTGCAGGGCAGGTGCACACAGGACCTTGGGTCACCTCTCTTCTCGTTCTACTTGCTCTCCCTAGGCAGTCACATCTATCCTTGTGGCTTAGGTATCAACCAAATAAGAGTGGCTCCCAAAATTCAATATCTAGCCCAGACCTGGCTCTTGAACTCCAGACTTAAATTCCACCTGACGACTCAACCCTAGCATGTGGCTGTCAGACTCAGAATGTCCAAAACCAAACTTTCAATCGGCCCTCCAAGCCCCTTTGTCAAGTCGGCCCCATCTCAGAAAATGAAATTCTGCTTTCTGCTGATTAGACCCCGCCCAGGCACCCTCATTTCTCTCTTTCTCTAACAGCCTGTGTCCAATCAATTCACAAAACCTGATGGTTCTTAGAGACAGACCCAGGACCTGACCACTTCTCAACACCTGCTGCTACACCTTCGGCCAAGCACCATCACCTCTGACCTCCACGGGTGCAGGCGCCTCCTAACCGACTTCTCTCAAATGGGTGTCAGCTCTTGACCCTTCTGGGCTCACGATTCTCCAGGGTCTCCCCATCACACTCAGAGAACAGAGTCTTCATCTCACCCTGCAAGGCTTCGCATGGCCCCTGCTGCCTCTCACGCTCACCCAGTCACACCAGCTGCCTCTGCTCCTCAACGTGAGGAGCACATTCCACATGCCCAGGTGCCGCCAACCCACGGACTCGCTCCCTCCACTCAGGCCCTGCTCAAACACCACCATGTCAGAGCCCTTTGCTGAGCTCGTGGAAGATGCCACCCCCTCCTTGTTCCCTGTCACTCCCTGTCCCCTGAAGCTGTTATTCCCTCCTTGTTCCCTGTCACTCCCTGTCCCCTGAAGCTGTTATTCCTCCTGTTAACACCATGAGCCTTGGATCTGCCGCTCCATCATTATTGCTGGGGGCTTGTCTCTGAAGCGGGGGCTTGTCTCTGCCCCCTGCTGCGTTCCCCATAATCCATGACAGCACTGGCATGTGGCAGGCACTCAACAGACACGTGTTGGATGCCTGAACACGTAAAGCACGGAACCCTGTGCCTGGAGGGCTGCATGGATACAGCCTCCTTGAAATAAACAAGTGAGCACCAGGCATAAAGCTCAGCTGCGACTAATGCATTCGCTCTGAGAGAAGGCACACCTCGGAGAAGACACAGGCGGTGCTGCTCCAGCATCCCCATGCCACACTCCCTCTGCTTCTGTCTTGGATGGGCAAGACCGAGAGAAGCTATTCACCATCCACGCCCGAGCTTGTTAAGAAAATTATTTTCTAGTTGCTCTCTCTGCTTCTCTACAGACCATGCCCTGTGAATCCAAGGCCTGATCTCTGTGCCTCCTGCCGGCAAGCCTGAGCGGCCTCTCCCCACTGTGAATTCCGCAGCAGCACAGGCTGCAGATGCGTGAATCTGTGTGCAAGAACGCAAGGCCCTGTTTCTGTCTCTGTGCAGCCACTAGCGCCATGCCACAGACACAGGAGTATCCACCAATGGAGGCAGCCTGGGGTCAGTCTCTGTCTAGTCGCCCTTCGCTGTGTGGGCTGAGCAGCACTGCCAGGGATGCAACAAAGAACACAGACTTAAGTAATGGCCAGCAGAGCCCTGATGACCGGATCCCACCAAGGTCCCCTAGACTCCCCTTTTGGTTAAGTGCTCCAGGGAGTTATCCACTCAGTAAAGCTCAAGGCAGCCTGATGTCTCAGCCTCATGCCTGGCACCCCAGGGGCCTGGTCTGGGGACAGTGCTGCTTCACCATTCCTTCCCCAGCACAGAGCAGGGAGGAGGGCTGGTCCTGAGCCCAGCCCTCGGCGTCCTCCTTCATTTCTAGGTTACGGCCCAGGGCCTGAGGACTGCCAGCCTGAGCTTTCCCCGTCTCCAGGCTCGGTGCTTGCACCTCCTCTTTAGCATAGGGGACTTCAGTGATCCTGCTGTCACCATGGGACCCCTTTTGAGTGGCTTTTTGCCCAGGAGAGAGGAAGCAGCACTCCTAGGGAGAGGCCCCTGGCTGGCCCTGGAAGGGCTGACAGACACCCACAAACACATGAGGCAGAACAGAAAACCAACCTGCTTCTTGGAGTTGGAAGTCTTGCATTTACCTAAGAGAGCTGGTGCTGCTTCCATCTTTGGAAAGCGAGAATGGAAAGAACAGTGAGAAGGCAAAAAAAGCAGAGCAAGCACATTCACTTGAAAAGAAATGAACCATCCACGAGCAAGGAAGAGTCCAGAGCCTCATGAGGCCAAACCTTGCCATGCATCGAGGCATGGCTGGACTGACCACAGACGGCTCCCTGGCTGCTGGCAGCAACTCAGCCACTCCCATCTATGGGGACAGCGAAGCCCAGAGCACACAGAACTGCTGAGGGGAGCGGGGGACTTACATTGTCATCGGAGTCTCCACCTTGCATCGTGCCCACAATGCGTTTGCCGGGTCTTCCTGAGAATAACAAAAGCATGAAGAAGTCATAAAAACCTTGGAAAATAAAGCAGGAAATAGCATTCAAGATCTGTTTTCTGATCAGGCATGTTGGCTCATGCGTATAATCCCAGTACTTTGGGAGGCTGAGACAGGAGGCCAGGAGTTTGAGGCCAGCCTGGGCAACATGATGAAACCTCATCTCTACAAAAATTTTTTTAAAAAATTAGTCAGTTATGGTGGTTCACACCTGTAGTCTCAGCTACTTGGGAGGCCGAGGCAGGAGACTCGCTTGAAACCATGAGGCAGAGGTTGCAGTGAGCTGAGACTGTGCCACTGCACTCTAGTCTGTCTCAAAAAAAAAAAAAAAAAAAGCAACAGTGTTCCAAACATCAACAGGTGGTAGATAAGAAATGTTCTTAAAGGCAAATATAGGAGAATTTTGTAGTATTAAATTAAAAATTTACGGAACCTTTGACCTAAGAATTTGACTTTTAATGATGCAACCTAAAGATAGGCAGACATGGCCAGGCGCGGTGGCTCAAGCCTGTAATCCCAGCACTTTGGAAGGCCGAGATGGGTGGATCACCTCAGACCGCCTGGCCAACATGGTGAAAACCCATCTCTACTAAAAATACAAAAACTAGCTGGGTGTGGTGGTGCAGGCCTGTAATCCCAGCTACTCGGGATTATAGGAGAATCGTTCCCTCCGGGAGGCAGAGGTTGCAGTGAGCCAAGATCATGACACTGCACTCCAGTCTGGGGACCAAGAGCGAGACATTGTCTCAACAACAAAAAAAAAAAAAAAAAAAGTAGGGGGCAGATCTATTACTGACAAAAGAAGAGTTCCAATTGTATTTAATTTTTAAAAACAAAAGCAAGTTGCAGAACCATACATACCGTCTGGTTGCACTCAGGTTAAATTTTTTTCAGGTGATCTTTGTGTGTGTATGTGTGTACGTGTGAGTGTGCATGTGTGTGCATATGTATATGTACAGAAAGGTAATCTGTAAAGACACACGCACCCTGGCCACTAGCCATGAGCCCTCCCAGGTGGGAGTGGGACATGAGGAAGACCCCAGGGCAGCATTCACGTTCGCTCTACAAATGTTGCTGCCTGAGTCTTTTTATGTTTTAACTTAGTTTTAAGAGCCCCTCTATGTCGCCAGGCCACTGTGCAGTGGCTATTCCCAGACACAATCATCACACACTACAGCTCCGAGCTCCTGGGCTCAAACGATCCTCCGGCCTCAGCCTCCTGAGTAGCTGGGAATAAGGCATGCGTGACTGTGCTGAGCTTTGCTACTCGAATCTTTTGTGATGAGTAAAGGAATTAGAAGAACTTTTTTTTTTTAAGGCAGAGATGCTCATTTAAGTCCCTTTCTGCATTAATTCTCAGGCTATTAGGTACATCACTGCACTGAGAGTGGCAGAGGCAATGTGTTCTTGTGGCTCTGTGAGAAATACCAAGCCATAAATATGAACCATCCAGTTTTGGGATCACAGACAAGTAACAATATTAGGAGCAAACATGACCACTGAGCAGTTCAAGAGCCATAAACAACAGGACAGGATAAACCTGAGCAAGAGCTGCTTCCAGGGGCCATTCACAGTGCGCTTGTGGGCCTCAACACTAAGCAGCCTGCCCCCGTCCTGGCCAGGTGTTCTGTGAAACAGGGCATAGGGAGAAAGGCCAGCGAAAGATGCAGGGGTACCTTGCATGAGCACCTCCATGGCTGTCCGTGGCTTGGGCAGCCGCCTTTCTTCCAACTCACTGTCGGATTCGTCATCCTCCTGGATGTCTACATCCGAGTCATCATTACCTGGCAGGAACACAAGCAGGCAAAACAAAGGAGTGGCTTCATCATCACAACTAAACAGCTCTGCCCAGTAAAGTTTGCATGCATCAGCCTTTCTTTGGATGCATTAGATTTTATAAGACTCTCCGGATTTGCCTGTAGATGCTTAGTGAAGAATTAATGTGGACAATGATGTGCTGTTTTTATTAAAAAAATAATTTTCCAAAGCAAGGAAAAAGTGGGTCGGATATATTCGTTAGAAACACTATTACAGTCATCAGAACAGCGACGCAAATGCCTCCAATTCCATCCTTCTAAAACCTGCATGGCTCCCTGGGTGCAGAGAAATCAGGTGCCAGGCAGTGAAGTTTTTACACATTCTCTGCAAAGACTTTTGGAAGATAGTTTTCAAATTAATTGTGTTGAAGCCCTTGAAGGAAATCTGAAAATTTAAAAACTGAATAGCCAGCTGTCAAGTGCTTGGTTAGTTCAGGGAAAAACCCATTCTCTGACTAATGTTAGGCTGTGTTACCAGAACTCAAGTTCCTAGATCATGACAAAGATGAGGAAGTGGAGGCTGCTAATAAGGTAACACAGCAAGACTGGAGGCAGGGAGGCCAGGCTAGGAATGGCACGAATGGGGCTGCCCTGAGGAGAAGGATGATCTTAGTGACCGGCAGTGAAAACTGGTGATGTGATGTTCTCCCCTGGGGAAAATCCCATCACAAAGACAGATTTTTTCCAAAGTAATTTTCAATGGGACACCGTTTCTTTTTTTTTTTTTTTTGAGATGGAGTCTTGCACTATCGCCCAGGTTGGAGTGCAGTGGCGTGATCTCCACTCATTGCAAGCTCTGCCTCCCGGGTTCACGCCATTCTCCTGCCTCAGCCTCCCAAGTAGCTGGGACTACAGGCGCTCACCACCACACCCGGCTAATTTTTTGCATTTTTAGTAGAGACGGGATTTCACCGTGTTAGCCAGGATGGTCTCATTCTCCTGACCTCATGATCCGCCCGCCTCGGCCTCCCAAAGTACTGGGATTACAGGCGTGAGCCACCATGCCCAGCCGGAACAGCTCTTTATATTAATTTCTTAAATACATTCTTTGGAGTCTTGCAACTATAGGCTGAATATTTCCTAAAGGGAACCTACAGAAGGAGTCTCCACTGTGGGGAGAAAGACCTTTCACTGCCTGGGACCTGACTTCTCTGCACCCAGGGAGCCATACAGGTTTTGTAAGGATGGACTTGGAGGACCCTGTTCTGATGATTAACTCAGAAGTTAGTTTGGAAGAACAGTAATTGTTAGTCTGCCCAAAGGCTTTGCTATGCCCCTACTATAAGAGGGTAATGTGGCCGGGCGCAGTGGCTCATGTCTGTAATCCTAGCACTTTGGGAGGCTGAGGTGGGCAGATCACCTGAGGTTAGGAGTTTGAGACCAGCCTGGCCAGCATGGTGAAACCCTCTCTCTACTAAAAATACAAAAACTAGTCAGTCGTGGTGGTGCGCACCTGTAGTCCCAGCTATTAAGGAGGCTGAGGCATGAGAATTGCTTGAACTCCAGAGGCAGAGGTTGCAGTGAGCTGACATCACACCACTGCCCTCCACCCTGGGCAGCAGAGAGAGACTCCGTCTCAAAAAAAGAGAGAGTAATGAAACGGTAACAGTATCTAGCTGGGCACTGTGGGAAGGTTTTCTGCTTTCTTTAGCCATGGAGAGAAGAGCTGTGCTTTATAGTACAGGAAGGGCCAACCTAGGAGCTGGAGAAAGTGTCAATAACAACATCCTGGGCTTCGACACAATTACTTTGAAATCTTCTGAAAGTCTTTATAGAGAATATTATTAAATATTAACATCAATTAATGACTACAAAATGAAACCACTATTCAGCTTAGTTCATTTCTTATGCCATCCAGGAAGTTAAGACATTAAATCCTTATCCCATGCAATGCAAATCAAATTATATAATCAATTTTAAAATAAAATTAATACACGTACCTCAGGCTCAATAAAATTTCTTCTTACAACTCAAACCAATACAGATTTGAGAAGTGAGCAGGTAAACTAAAGTCAATTGCTATCATATGATTTCAATGTGTCTCCGAAAAGCACGCGTTGGAAACTTAAATCCCAATGCAACAGTGTTGGGAGGTGGGGCAGATTGGGAGGTGTTTAGGTCACGAGGGCTCCGCCCTGAAGAACAGACTAATGCTGGTTATAAAAGGGCTTGAGGCTGTGGGTTTGATCTCTTGCTTTCTCTCCCCCTTTCTTTGCCCTTCTGTCATGGGATGGTGCAGCAAGATGCAACTCCTTGATCTTGGACTTGCCCCCAGAACTGTGGCTCATTAAGTCTCAGACAAGTAAATTTCTGTTTATAATGATAATAATATAAACTAATACTAATATATTATATGTTATATAATTGTCATATGTTATATATGGCAGTATATGTCATATTATGTATGTCATATATTATATATATATGTCATATATATATAAACTCACACACATACAGACACATACAAAACTAGCCCTCTGTATCCATGGATTTCACATCCATAGGTTCAGCCAACCATGGATCTGAATTATTTGGAAAAAAAAATCTACAATTATTTGGAAAAAAAAAATCTACAAAGTTCCAAAAAGCAAAACTTGAATTTGCCACATGCCAAGTACTATGCTGAATCCATGTGAATGAAGTGATATATAGGCATTATGTTAGGTATTTTATGTCACCTAGAGATGATTTAAAGTATACAGGAGGATGTGCATAGGTTATATGCAAAAGACTTGAACACCTGTGGATTTTGGTATCCACAGGTGGGTTCTGGTACCAGTTCTCCACAGATATTGAGGGATGACTACATGTATCCATATATATAATGCTGTATATATTTTATGTAAAATATATAATTACCCAGTCTCAGGTATTCTGTTACAGCAGCACAAAACAGACTAAGACATTAATGCATGCTGACACTGAAACCACTGAGTTGATAGTGACAATTAAAATTAAGTATGGCTGACCACATGCCAGTATAATTCAATGGGGGAAATAATAGTCTTTTCAACAGATGATAATAGGATGACTGAACAGCCACATGCAAAAGAATGAAGTTGGACCCCCTGTCTCACACCATATATAAAAATTAACTCAAAGTGGATCAGAGACCTAAATGTAAGAGCTAAAACTACAGAACTCCTAGAAGAAAACATACAGGTAAATCTTGGTGAATAAAGCAAGATCAGCATGACAGGTCTTAGCATCCTGGCCCAGGGACAGAATGGGATACAAGTAACCAACCAGGGCTCCTACCTGAGTTGGGCCTCTCGAAAGGGGCAAACCTCATGCAGGCTGATCACTGAGGGCTGCTTCTCACGCTCCTGGCTGACATGGAAATAAAAAGGGGAGGGCTGCTTTGGCTAGACATGCCCTTCAAATTTCCTAACCTTGTTCCTGGAGGACTTCCCAGCAGTCCCTGTCCTTCCTCCAGGGTTTCCTGAGATTCAGACGACAGAGTCATAGAACAGGTGCAAAATGAGAGAGATACAAGGGAAATGGCAAAAAAAGAGAAAGAGAGAGAGAGTACGCTGCCCTCAACATGAGATCAAACAGAATATTTCGCCATGAAGAAAAGAAAGAGCAATCAGCAAGAGGAGGAGGAACTCTGTGCAAGAAGGCCGTTGATTCAGCAGGAAGATCCTGGGCTGCTACTGGTCCCTGACAGTGACTTGACACTGAAGTTCAGGGATAAGGGAAGCTGCCTGGTCACAGAGAGCTCCTTCCTGGAATCTCGGCCTTGTATGGACGTAACCCTGTGTCTCTCCAGCTAAGTGTCTTGCTGAGCCATTCTGGATTATGGGGGGCATCTCAGCGGCATGGGCACCATCATGAGAAGCGAGTGGCCCCTCTCCCTGCACTGCATCCCAATGCTTGTTTTCCATCAGTCAGCCTGAAAATACAGAACCCTACACACCTCTAGGACCGCCTTTTCTTACAGTTACACATCATATATAATTCAAACTATAATTTAAACAGGGGAAAACACTATCTTAACTGGCACAAGAATGAAATGTGTTTTAAATGCTATATTTAAACCAGACTCTTGAGTGAATACAATGGTACACAAAATAGAAGTTGTGAGAAAACTGCCTTTTGAAAATATTTTTGTACCTATAGTCAACAATATTTTATTATACTTTTAAAAATTGAAGATGTAAAGTGAAGTGTTATTACAGTAAAAAAAAAAAACTGCTGAAAAAAAGAAGAAAATATATATTTAAATACACACACACACACACACACACACACACACACACACACACATATCTCAAGGCTGAAAATGCTAGTCCAGAGTAAACTGCTCATCTACAAAGCCCAGCCTTACTTCCACTCTTGAGCAGGCGCTTCTCTTCCTCCTTGAGCTTGTTCTGTATCAGGCAGAGAGTGTTTTTAGCTTCCTGTGGAAGAGGAAAAACAGACTCAGGAGAGATGGCCCTTTTCTGGACTGTTCTATTCTTCTTCACCACTGTGTAAGGACTGCTAAGTTTGTGCTACAGAACAAAAAAAGAGCTAAACTCAAGGAACGGGAAGAGAATTAACACAGCCTGAGCAACTCCAGGGTCCCAAAATTTACTGCCCTTTCTCTCTGAGGTCACCTGGTGGCCTGGTGGACACAGGCACCCAGAATGAAGCAGCTGCCCCACCCCCATCTTTCTCCGACTACACTTCCCCGCCTCTGAGGAGAACTAAATGTCCACCATGCGTGCCTGTATGGCCTGGGGACACAGAACAGACACATCTAATTTTAGGGCAGAGACAGACCTCCTGCTTTCAAAGGAAGAAAGTATAGATTTTATCAATTATCTTTCCTGCCCTGCCTTCAGATTCCAGCTCAAAAGATGCTAAATGGTAGGATAGGTAAGGATGGGAATAGGGGTGGGGACAAGAGGAAACATCTCAGATCATAAAATATGGCTTATTATCAAGAAAGAAAATGGGGGCTGGGCGTGGTAGCTCACACCTGTAACCCCCATGCTTTGGGAGACCAAGGCAGGAGGATCACTTGAGCCCAGGAGTTTCAGACCAGCCTGGGCAACATAGGGAAACCTCATCTCTACAATACATTTAAAAAATTTAGCCAGGTATGGTGGCACGTGCCTATAGTCCCAGTTACTCAAGAGGCTGAGGTGGGAGGATCACTTGAGCCTAGGTCTGAGGCTACAGTGAGCTATGATCACACTCTGCGCTCCAGACAGAGTGGCAGGTAACACAGTGAGACCCTGTCGAGAAAGAAAGAGAGAGAGAGAGAGATGGGGGGTGTGGGGTGGGGTAGGGACAGACAGAGGGAGGAAGCTGGCTTTAAATATTGTTGTTGTTCTAAACATTAAAAATAAAGCACTGTGTTTCAGGCATGGGGTATTTCGAGGGAACAGGTATTCTAAGGACAGAGTGCGAGAGTGAGTAAGAGAAAAAGAGATGTACTCGTTGAAGGAAGGGTAGGGTAGAGGGCTCCCCCGGAAGTCTCCTGGGCCACCTATCCGCCATTCTGAGGCATACTGTTTGTTTTGTTCTCTGAACCCAGAGGTGGCCCCAGATAATACAACAAAATGTTTCTTTTCACTGTCCTTGACTGTTCTTTCCCAGGTACCCAATGTTTAAAATGTTCTAAACTCCAGGCTCTTTCCAGTGCCCTTGAAATGTGCCTGTCCTGTACCATTTCTCCATGGCCTGCCTCTGCCACAGAGTAATGCTATTAATGAATTCCTCGTCAAGATGACATGTGTCCACATAGATGTGTTAGGTACTCCCAGTTAGCCCTCCTGGACAACAAACTAGCTCTGCCCAACTCAAATGCTCAGAATTGTAAGAAGCCTAGCATAACCTTAATGCCAAAAGCTGTCAAGGGCATGAGAAGGGGAGACTGCAGACTAATTTCATCATGAAAATGGAGTCTAAAAGACCATTCTCAGGTTAAGGATAGGGCAATTCAAAAATTGATCACAACTTGGTTCAATTTCTTTTGCTCTAAATTCCACATTTATCAACTCATGCTCGGATCTGAAATACTCTTTCCTAAATGGCCTTACCCACGGGGATGAAAGGAACCTGTAAGATGGTTGGTCAGGTTCAAGGCCACATATATTTCCCACAATCAACCAATAAACTGCCATTCCTCTTTACAAAACAATCTCCAATGAGCTATTTTGGTGATTCAATTAACCACAATTTGAAAATCTTTTTTTTTTCTGTTGAGACGGTGTCTTGCTCTGTCGCCCAGGCGAGTGCAGTGGCACGATCTCTGTTCACTACAACCTCCGCCTCCTGGGTTCAAGCAATTCTCCTGCCTCAGCCTCCCAAGTAGCTGGGATTACAGGCGCCCGCCACCATACCAGATAAATTTTGTATTTTTAGTAGAGGGGGTTTCACCACCTTGGACAAGCTGATCTCAAACTCCTGACCTCGTGATCCAACCACTGTGGCCTCCCAAAGTGCTGGGATTACAGGCGTGAGCCACTGCGCCGGGCCCCCCTCCCCGCTTCTTTTTTTTTTTTTTTTTTTGAGACAGAGTCTTGCTCTGTCAACCAAGCTGGAGTGCAGTAGCATGATCATGGTTCACTCCAACTTCAAACTCCCAGGCTCGAGCAATCCTCCCATCTCAGGCTCCCAAGTAGCTGGGACAATAGGTGTGCAACACCATGCCCAGTTAGTTTGTTTGTTTGTTTATTTATTTATTTATTTATTTATTTATTTATTTGAGACAGTCTCGCTCTGTCGCCCAGGCTGGAGTGCAGTAATGCGATCTCGGCTCACCACAAGCTCTGTCTCCTGGGTTCACGCCATTCTCCTGCCTCAGCCTCCAGAGTAGCTGGGACTACAGGCACTTGCCACCACGCCTGGCTAATTTTTTGTATTTTTATAGAGACAGGGTTTCACCATGTTACCCAGGATGGTCTCAATCTCCTGACTTCGTGATCTGCCCGCCTCGGCCTCCCAAAGTGCTGGGATTACAGGCATGAGCCACCGCGCCTGGCCTAATTTTTTTTTACTTCTTTGTAGAGACGGGTCTCACTATGTTGCCCGAACTGGTCTCGGATTCTTGGGCTTCAGTGATCCTCCTGCCTAAGCCTCCCAAAGTGCTGGAATTACAAGTATGAGCCATCGCACCTTGCCTTGAAAATCTTTATGTGAACTGACCTAAGCAAGCTTTGTTTTTTTATGTTTGGAGACAGGATCTTGCTCTGTTGCCCAGGCTGGAATACAGTGGCACCATCTTGGCTAACTGCAGCCTCTGCCTCCTAGGTTCAAGAGATTCTCCTGTCTCAGCCTCCCGAGTAGCTGGGACTATAGGCATGCACCACCACACCCAGCTAATTTTTTTATTTTTATTTTTTATTTTTATTTATTTATTTTCTGAGACGGAGTCTCGCTCTGTCGCCCAGGCTGGAGTGCAGTGGCCGGATCCCAGCTCACTGCAAGCTCCGCCTCCCGGGTTCACGCCATTCTCCTGCCTTAGCCTCCCAAGTAGCTGGGACTACAGGTGCCTGCCACCTCGCCCGGCTAATTTTTTTTTTGTATTTTTAGTAGAAACGGGGTTTCACCGTGTTAGCCAGGATGGTCTCGATCTCCTGACCTCATGATCCACCCATCTCGACCTCCCAAAGTGCTGGGATTACAGGCTTGAGCCACTGCGCCTGGCCTAATTTTTTTATTTTTAGGAGAGGCGGTGTTTCACATGTTGGCCAGGCTGGTCTCGAACTCCTGACCCCAAGTGATCCACCCGCCTTGACCTGCCAAAGCCAAGCAAGCTTTTAAATTTGTACTCAAGACCAGCTACGTAATTTTTGGGATCAGTGGAAAATAAAATACACTTAAAAATTATTATGGGCCGGGCGCGGTGGCTCAAGCCTGTAATCCCAGCACTTTGGGAGGCCGAGACGGGCGGATCACAAGGTCAGGAGATCGAGATCATCCTGGCTAACACAGTGAAACCCCGTCTCTACTAAAAAAATACAAAAAACTAGCTGGGTGAGGTGGTGGGCGCCTGCAGTCCCAGCTACTGGGGAGGCTGAGGCAGGAGAATGGTGTAAACCCGGGAGGCGGAGCTTGCAGTGAGCTGGGATCCGGCCACTGCACTCCAGCCTGGGGATCTGGCCACTGCACTCCAGCCTGGGCATACAGTGAGACTCCGGCTCTCAAAAAAAAAAAAAAAAAAAAAAAAATTATTATGAATTTCCCAGACATTGACAACAGGGCCTGAAAGCAAGCACAGACCCCATGTCGGCATAGGGTCTTATGCAGCCGCATAGGCCACACGTCGGCCCTGTCTGTACTCTCAGCTGACTAAACCTGATGAAATATGACATCAAAGATTTGACAACCCTGGAATCCAGGGTACACTGCCAGCAAAACAAATGCATGACATGAGCAATCCTCAGACTGACCAGGGAGAAAAAACATGTACTGATATTTTTTTCACAATGATATTAACAAAATGACCTGTTACCCAGTACAAAATAACACACCAGAAGGAATGGCTGAACAGAGGACAGGCTCAGCTCACCTCAAACCTTTCTTGCTCCATCCTATGATGCTCTTCAAGCTGCTGCTCCAGGTAAGTCAGATTTTGAAATTTCTCCAGATAAATGTCATACTGCTTTTGTAATTCTTCCTCAGTCTTCTCATACTCATCCATAAAACATGGCCTAAGACAAGCAAATGAAATAAAAAGGGAAAGGTGAGTTAAAGTGCAGTAGTTTGAAATGGGTATTCACAGTTTCAGACTCCATGGTGGCTTTCTCTGGAAACCCTTAGAGAAGGGCCTTCATTCTTGTAACTGCTTACAAATATTTTCCCTCTTCTCCTTTCTCCCCCGAAAATGGACATACTTCTTTTTCATCATAAGATGTACTCTTTGTAAAAACTTGAAATAAGCCTGAAAGTATGAAGAATGATGTAAAAATTACTGATAATCCCATCACCAGGTATAAGCGTTTGATAGTTGACATATATCCTTCCAGACTTTTCTATGCATATAGACAGGAATGCATTTTAAACAAAAATTAAATATACTAAGAAATTCTATAATCTTTTTTTTTCATTTCAATATATCATAATGTCAATAGAGTTAAAAATGATCAGGCTGGGTGCATCAGCTCACACCTGTAACCCTAGCATTTAGGGAGGCTGAGGTAGGAGAAGGATTGAGCCTGGAGTTCAAGGCTGCAGTGAGTGAGGATCCTCTGACCTTGCCATGGCACTCCAGCCCTCCAGCCTGGGGACACACTAAGACCCCATCTCTAAAGGCAAAAAGTCACATACCAGACACATCTCTCAAAATCAACAAATATATATATTATTATCTTATTTGGGTATAATGTTCTACTGTCGGCCGGGTGCGGCAACTCACGCCTGTAATCCCAGCACTTTGGGAGGCCAAGGCAGGCGGATCAACTGAGGTCAGGAGTTTGAGACCAGCCTGGCCAACATGGTGAAACCTCGTCTCCACTAAAAACACAAAAATTAGCCAGGCATGGTGGCACATGCCTGTAATCCCAGCCACTCAGGTGGCTGAGGCAGGAGAATCGCTTGAATCTGGGAGGCGGAGGTTGCAGTGAGCCAAGATTGCACCACTGCACTCCAGCCTGGGCGACACAGCGAGACTCCATCTCAAAAGAAATAATAACAACAATAATAGTGTTCTACTGTCAGGCTATTACAAATTTTAAGCAATCCTCTAAAAAGGGGACCATAGGTTGTTACGAATTAAAGCTGGTGTTTTTTTATTTGTTTTTTGAGACAGGGTCTCACTTTGTCACCCAGGCTAGAGTGCAGTGGTGTGATCATGGCTCACTGAAGCATCGAACGCCTGGACTCAGGTGATCCTCCTGGCTCAGGCCCCCAAGTAGCTGGGACTACAGACATGTGCCACTATGCCCGACTATTTTTTATATATATTTTTTGTAGAGATGGGATTTCACCAAGTTGCCCAGGCAGGTCTTGAACCCCTGAGTTCAAGTGATCTGCCCGCCTCGGGCTCTCAAAGTGCCGAGATTATAGACATGAATCACTGTGCCTAAAGAGGTTTTTAAACGATAAAAAATTTTTTTAAAAGGCCAGGCGTGGTGACTCACACCTGTAATCCCAGCACTTAGGGAGGCCGAGGCGGGTGGATCATAAGGTTAGGAGTTCAAGACCAGCCTGGCCAACATGGTGAAACTCCATCTCTACTAAAAATACAAAAATTAGCTGGGCGTGGTGGCGGCTGCCTGTAATCCCAGCTAGTTGAGAGACCAGGGCAGGAGAATTGCTTGAATCCGGGAGGCGGAGGTTGCAGTGAGCTGAGATCGCACCACTGCACTCCCACCTGGGCAACAGAGCGAAACTCCATCTCAAGAGAAAAAAAAACCATAAAAACAAAAACAAAACAAAACAAAAAAACATAAAAATCTATTTCAACTGATTTGCTGAACTTTTTCTTTTTTTCTTATTATTGACCTTAAAGGAAAAATTCTACTCTTTTAAAAATATAAGCAGATAAACTAAGAAATAATTATAATCTTTTGAACTAGAGCAAAACAAAGAGACTTTTTTTTCTGTTAAAAGGATTTGGAGCTTAACAAAAATGAATTGATGCTTTAAAGGTGGAATATGTCAAGGAGATCAATCTATCTGGCAGCACTGACTTCTGTTTTTTTTTTTTTTTACCTCTGTGAGGCTCCAGAGGTAAATAGCCAGTTTCAGGAGGGGAAGGGCCTCGGCTTTGCGCTGGGTGGGGAGGAGCCAGGGCGCTCCCTGTGGTTGCTGTCACTGCCCCAGGGGCTGTCTCCCCACAGACCCTGGGACAGTGGCCAGGGTGTAGCCAGCCACCAACATCCAAAAAGGCAAAACATATTCGAGGAGAGCAGGCAGCTGGGAAGAGGAGGGAGCCAAGAAGAAAGAAAAATAAAGGGAGGATGAAAAGGGAGAAAGAGCAGAAGCACGGGGGAGGGAAAAAGGTGCAGAACGAAGAAGAGAACAGAGGGCCGGCACCACTATTCTCCATTGGTATTCCTGGGAAATACATTTCCAATGAGGTAAAGTAGGAAGAAAGACGAATTACTGACTGGTGAGGAATGATCAAGGTTTAAATAAAGTCTAAAATCTATGCCAACAAAGAGGCAGGAGTATGTTTCTGTTTCTACCTAATTTATGGCAAGATCTTAGCAGACCACGTCTGGATTTCCCCATCTGGATTCACTTACTCTGCCTTGAGTTCCAAGAAGCTATAAAAGCTTAAAGGGCAGTTCAAGCATAAAGCAGTTTTCCAGACATACTGCAAGCAGTAAAGAGAATGAGTTTAGCCATCTGCTTGTTATGACAGGCAACACATGCACATTTTGAGGTGAAGATATCTTTATGTAAGGCTTTTCTTCATTGCTTAAGAAGAGTTAAGATCATATTCTATTCTCTTAAGTCTTTGTTGTAACTTTTCTTTTTTCTTTTAGAGTCAGGGCCTCGTTCTTTTGCTTAGGCTGGAGTGCAGTGATGCAACCATAGCTCAGTGCAGCCTCAACCTCCTGGGCTCAAGCAATCCTCCTGCCTCAGCCTCCCAAGTAGCTGGGACTACAGGTGTGTACCACCACACTGAGGTAATTTTAAAAAATTTTTAGAGATGGGGTTTCATTATGCTGCCCAGGTTGGTCTCAAATTCCTGGGCTCAAGAGAACCCCCCCGCCCCAGCCTCATGAGTAGCTGAGATTTCAGACATGAGCCACCACGCCCAGTTTGTTTGAACTTTCCAGGACATCTTTCTACTCATTCTCCAAGTGTTCATATCTACCTGACACTCTGCAGAGTCTCTAGTCGCTTCCGATTTCTTTCCAGTTCTAATTTTCTCTTTTCAATTTTGGCTTCTAAATTAGCTTCATCAGAGGCCACATTATTGAGCAAGTCTTTAGTCTTCTGAACCTGTGTCTATATTTAATGGGAAATAATGAGACAAAGTGGCAATAAAAACAGCCATCCTAACTCACAGAAGAATTCTGCAACTCTTCAGGCATGGCAACATTATGCTCAACAAACACAAAAGCAAATAAATAAAGTAGACACTTCCCCAAGCAATGACTCACTTAACCCACTAGTTCCAGGGAGAATGTCACACAGGTCTAGAAAAAGTTATCTTTTTCTCCCCCATGAAAAGCAGGCATTTCTGCCCAGGGAAAGAAGTGAAGATGGAAAGAAGAGTGTCCTGGTCAAGGTGGAGCCGTCTTTTGTCTGGCTCACTCGGTTAGAACAAGGTACACATCAGTCTGGATGGTCAATCTGCCTTTTTATCATTCAGGCCATGCCCCTAGTTACAAACACCCGACTTACAGAATACACACACACCAAGTACTGCTAGAGGGGAGAGAAAGAAACAGCTGGTCCCAGCCCTAACCCACTGCCTGCTGGGACTGAAAGAAGGTCCCTCTTCCCTCTCCCTGGCAACAGAAGCTTGACTACAGACTAAAAATGGGAAGAAACCATGCTGAAGACAGTACAAAAGCAGTTCCCGCAGTGGCACTGGCCACACTGACGTGCACCAGCTCTGGAAGGGGCCCAGGGCAACAGTCAGAGAGAGGCCCTTGGGCAACAGAGGCTGAGTAAAGAAGGGAAAGGGGACACGGGCCCACTGACAATGACACAAGTCTCCCTATCCTAAGAGAAGGTTCATTTGAAGCAGGTAGAGTCACAGGTAGCACACTGTCTTCACATGCGTCTTGTCTGGTGGCCTGCCGGGTCACATGCCTGTGGTTCAGGCTCCAATCTCTTCATGAGGAATCTGGACTGCCACCCAGCTGAGCGTGGAACTGCCCCCCCAGGGTTCTGGCTTTCCAGCCCTGCATTAAGTTCGGGTGGCCAAGGTGGGGCTTTCTCCTCCAGCACTTTGCCTACATGTAGCATCCCGTAAAGGGGTTACTCTGTTTTCCTGCAAGTCTCTGAAAAGCTATGGGCTCCACAGAGAAATGGCCTAAGAAGCCCACACACTCTCCACAACTCTCAGGGATGGTGTATTTTGGAAGCAGCCACTGTTACTGACAATGCATTTATGGTCTGATTTTTTTGGTCTAAGTACACTGGCCATTTTTTTTTTTTTTTTTTTGAGACGGAGTCTTGCTCTGTAGCCCAGGCTGGAGTGCAGTGGCCGGATCTCAGCTCACTGCAAGCTCCGCCTCCTGGGTTCATGCCATTCTCCGGCCTCAGCCTCCCAAGTAGCTGGGACTACAGGTGCCCGCCACCTCGCCCGGCTAGTTTTATATATTTCTTAGTAGAGACGGGGTTTCACCGTGTTAGCCAGGATGGTCTCGATCTCCTGACCTCGTGATCCACCCGTCTCGGAAAGGAGTCTTAAGAGATTTCTACCAAGAAATGAACCCTGTCCCCTCTTGGGTGTTCTACTTTTAACATATTAGTGCTAAGGGCACATTCATGCCGTGTTCACCTGATTCAGTTAGAACACTGGCAAGCATTTAGAGGTATAACACTTTTTTTTAAATTTTTAAATTTAGAAACAATCAAAAATTTACGTAAGACCTGTTGTACAACACAAAACGGTTTTCCCAACCTAGGTGACAGTAAGTTGCTGACCAGATGTTCCAACGTCCTAGATACTTTAAGTGTGTATTTCCTACAAATAAGGACTTTTTCCTACATCCCCACAATACAATCATCAAAACAGGAAGCCAGCACTGACACACTACCACCATCTAACCCCAGCCCCACTCCACTGTCCCCACTTGTCCCAGTGAAGTCCCCAACAGCAGACAGGAGCTGCCTATGTGTCCAGTCATCACACCTCCACAGCCTCCCTTAGTCTGAAATGCCCCCTCAGCTTTCCTTGGCTTTCAGAACCTTTCCACTTTGGGAGCATACAGGCTGCTTAATCTGTAGAATGCCCCTCAATTTGGCTTTGTCTCATTAGAGTCAGATATGCATCGCTGGCAGGAATACTCAGAAGTGACTGCATCCTACCAGGCGTGCATCATTTTGATTTGTTCTACAACGATGATCTTCACTTTGATCACTTGATTAAGGGGGTGACTGACAGGCTTCTCCCTGAGAAGCGACTCTTTTCCGCTCTGTAATTAATAAGTACTCTGTGGGCTAGGCACGGTAGCTCATGCCTGTAATCCTAGCACTTTGAGAGGTCAAGGCGGGCGGATAACCTGAAGTCGGGAGTTTGAAACAAACCTGGCCAAACATGGCAAAACCCCAACTCCACTAAAAAAAACCCAAAGATTAGCTGGGTGTGGTGGCACATGCCTATAATTCCAGCTATTCGGGAGGTCGAGGCACAAGAATTGCTTGAACCCAGGAGGCAGAGGTTGCATTGAGCTGAGATGGCGCCACTGCACTCCAGCCTGGGCGACAGAGCAAGACTTCATCTTAAAAATAAATAAATAAATAAAATAAAACAAAAATACAATAATTAGCCAGGTGTGGTGGTGTGCCCCAGTAATCCCAGCTACTCAGAAGGCTAAGGCATGAGAATCACTTGAACCTCAGGGGCAGAGGTTGCAGTGAGCTGAGATGGCGCCACTGCACTCCAGCCTGGGTAACAGAGCAAGACTCTGTCTCAGGAAAAAAAAAAAGTACTTTGTGGAAAGTTACTTTGAAACTGTGTGAATGACCTGCTCCTCCTCAGCTTCCAATATTCTTTTTTTTTTTTTTTTTTTTTTTTTTTTGAGACGGAGTCTCGCTCAGTCACCCAGGCTGGAGTGCAGTGGCATGATCTCGGCTCACTGCAAGCTCCGCCTCCTAGGTTCACGCCATTCTCCTGCCTCAGCCTCCCGAGTAGCTGGGACTACAGGCGCCCGCCGCCACACCCAGCTAATTTTTTGCATTTTTAGTAGAGACGGGGTTTCACCATGTTAGCCAGGATGGTCTCCATCTCCTGACCTCGTGATCCGCCCGCCTTGGCCTCCCAAAGTGCCGGGATTACAGGTGTGAGCCACCACGCCCGGCCTCATTTTTTTTTATGCCAGTGAGAACTCATGGTTTCCTATTTCATTCTATTATGCCATAAAATTAATTATTCTAACTTATTTTGATGCTTAAGTTGTCCTTACTTTGGCCAGGAGAGGCCCACTCAAGTTGACTTCTGCATGCTTGCAACAGCTCCCTTTCCCCCTTTGAGCTCTTCTTTACTTTCTTGTACTGCTCCTGCCCAACTCTGGAATCAGCCATTTACCCCTAAGAGTTCTGGTTCCTTTTGGTGGAGAATGGTATTAAGCCAGGTGCTAGGTGTGCTCAGAGCTAAGAAATGTATGTGAGTGTGGGTGTGTCTATGTGTATGTATATAAATAAAACATACTTATATACATATGTATGTAATTCCTTAAATGTACACACATGCATATCAAAATTTATTCCTATATCTATCTATATATTGAAAACTATGCATTTAGCCAACACCTCCAATTTCAGGTTCACTCTAATTTTCTCTCTTTCCATTTTTGTGACATTTTTGTGACTTTTTTCTCCAACAGTGAGGAACGCGGCTTCGTTATCATTACCATATTTTTACTTATCTGATCCATCTGCCTATCTGTCACCAATCTCCAAACCAGGGCTGTGGTGCCCTTCTCCCCCTGTGAGGCTCTGACTTCCTGGGCTGGGCTACCCAGGGGTCACTACAGTTTAATGACAAGAGAATGATATATTTTTAAAAACCTATGATTTTTAGAATTTTGTATAACTCATAGCAAATCCTTGTTCTATGCCTACTCTGAATGTACACAGGGGCCCCCATCTGTGTCTACTGAGTAAAATAAATCATCAATGATGACTGAATATCTATTGTGCATCAGAGATGAGGCTTGATATGCCCTGTCGTGATTAATGTTTATAAGGACCCCACACAGTTGGGAATGCAGTTCTTGCTATTTTACAGATGAGGAAAATGAGGCACAGAGAGGTTAAGTAACTTGCCTAAGATCACACAGTGGAATTCAAACCCAAGCAATCTGAGTCTAAAGTCACCCTCATGATCTGCCTTCTAACTGACTCCTTTAGAGGAGAGGATAACTGAAGTGGGTGGGCAGTAAACAATGGTGGTCCTTCTACTTATTACAGTGCTGTCTGGAATTTAGAAAACCCTGAAATAATTTAAATACTAAGCAGTGAGGAATTGGTTAAACAAAATAAAATAGAACATTATTTATTAAAATTCTTGAATAACTGAAAATTATCAAATTACTGAAACTGATGAATTTTTAACAACATGAGAAGTTGTTTTTATTTATAACGAGGGGAAAAAATGATAGCAAGTGACCTAGGTATGCTCGAATGTCCTCTGAGTTTTTCATTTCCCCACTAACACATCCCTCGTTACTAAGCCTAGCTTGTTCTGTCTTGTACGGGCAAGAAATCAGTATTTTTGAATCCCCGGCATTAAAAACATTATATAAAAGCAAAGTTATCTTACCAAAATCTCTTTTATTGCAATTCTCATCACTTTTTCAGTCTCATTTATTTCCAGAGGTCTGGCAATGGCTTCTGTTCTCATTTCCTAGGGAAACGGTAAAATCATTTACAAATATTTTCAGAAAAGGAGTTCTCAAAATCAGTATTCCTAGATCTAGACGTGCCTTATGGACTGATTCTCCAAAGTTTCATTACAACGTGAATCTCTGATGCAAAAACACTTCCACCATCACCTCCTATAATGTCTTCCATCATCTAAGTGCCTACCCAGCCTCTCTCCAGAGCTCAAGATCCTCCTTTTCAACCAGAGGCCCATGTGACCCCAACTCTATGAGCAAAACTGAATTTAGCATCCATTATTTTTTCTCCCAAATTTACTTGCTTCTTTTTTTTTTTTTTTTTTTAAAAGAGAGATAGGGTCTCACTATGTTGCCCAGGCTGGTCTCAAACTCCTAGGCTCAAGTGATCCACATTCCTTGGCCTCCCAAAGTGCTAGGATCACAGGCACGAGCCACTGTGCCCAGCCCCAAATTTGTTTCTTTGCCTGCATTCTGTCCAGGTAACGCCCAAACTAAGTACAGTTCAACTTGCTGTCAGGATCCACTGCCAGCCTCTATAATCTTTCTTAGGATGAAGGCCCTCTCAGTTGCCTATCGCTAACAAACACAACCGACAAGAACAGTTACCATGGCCCTGCCCCTAGCATGAACCATTAACCAATCAAGGGACACATCCGTGACTATCACATCAGTGCTGAAAACTTCTGAGACGTGGGATTTTAATGTGGATATAGTTATGAGGTTTGCTATAGACAATGTTTGCGTGACTCCAAAATTCATATGTTGAAACTCTAACCCACAATGTGATGATGTTAAGAGGTGAGGCCTTTAGTAGGTGATTAGCTCATAAGAGAAACCCTGGGGAGATCCCTCACCCCTGCTGCCATGTGAGGAATCAGCAACAAGGCAACACCTGTTGGGAACATGCCCTCGCCAGACACTGAATCTGTTAGTGCTTTCATCTAGAACTTCCCAGTCTCCAGAACTGTGAGAAATGAATCTGTTATTTACAAGTCACACTCAGCTTATTGTGTTTTGTGACGGCAACCTGAATGGAGTAAGACAAGGCTCCTAGAGCACTGTGTCAAAACTCATTTTGTGCTTCCTTTCTTCCACGGTGCACCTGCACACGCTGGTGGGAATGGCTGAGGGCAGGGTGAAGACTTAGTCAAGGAGGCAGAACTCAGTGCCTTGCCTGTGGCTGGGGCTGCACCTCAGTAAATGTTTACTGAATGAAAGAAAAACAAACATTGGATAGGGGCTCTTCCTCGGATCATGACTACATACAGAGTTTGAAAAGTACTACATTCAGGGTCTCTTGGTTTCCTTGGGAAGAGTTCTGCCACTGGTTACTTCATCATTCTTTACAGGATGGTGCTGAAAGAGTCCCTGTGGGATGGAAGTGAAGTCTCACAATGATGCCACAGCTCTAGTGGCAATCAGCAAGTGGCCAGCTCCTGTCTCTGGGTCTCTTAGGGACACACACAGACATATGTACACCACTGCACTACAAACAGAACAGGGGAAAGCCTGGAGGTGCCTTATTCATCATATGAATTAGCTAGCAGATGTCAGTGGCAGTTTCATTCTGCCAACCACACTTCATCGGGTGGCAACTGCCGGGTCAATATATGATAAGCAGGCATAGCAACCTGGCACCTAAGTCCCTCTTCCCCAGACTTCTACTTTCGGTTTGCTCCCAGGGTATGCCAAACATATGCAAGGCAGTGAGAGAGAGAAGCCATGGATGGCATTCCTGATAGGAAGTGAATGAAAGAAATTCATTTAATTTTTTTTTTTTTTTTTGAGACGGAGTCTCGCTGTGTCACCCAGGCTGGAGTGCAGTGGCGCGATCTCGGCTCACTGCAAGCTCCGCCTCCCGGGTTTACGCCATTCTCCTGCCTCAGCCTCCGAGTAGCTGGGACTACAGGCGCCCGCCACCACGCCCGGCTAGTTTTTTGTATTTTTAGTAGAGACGGGGTTTCACCATGTTAGCCAGGATGGTCTCGATCTCCTGACCTCGTGATCCACCCGCCTCGGCCTCCCAAAGTGCTGGGATTACAGGCTTGAGCCACCGCGCCCGGCTCATTTAATTTTAAAGCAGTAGATTGAGCACATATGCTTCAAATGCCATAAATCTTTTTTTTTTTTTTGAGACAGAGTCTTGCTCTGTCGCCCAGGCTAGAGTGCAGTGGCATGATCTCCACTCACTGCAAGCTCTGCCTTCCGGGTTCACGCCATTTTCCTGCCTCAGCCTCCCCAGCAGCTGGGACTACAGGCGCCCGCCACCACACCTGGCTAATTTTTTGTATTTTTAGTAGAGACGGGGTTTCACTGTATTAGCCAGGATAGTCTCGATCTCCTGACTTCGTGATCCGCCCGCCTCAGCCTCCCAAAGTGCTAGAATTACAGGCGTGAGCCACCGCACCTGGCCCAAATGCCGTAAATCTTTACGGGTAAGGATTAAACACTACTCCACTCTAGGCCAGACGCAGGGGTTCACGCTTGTAATCCCAGAGGCTGAGGAAGGCGAATCACTTGAGATCAGAAGTTTGAGACCAGCCTGGCCAACATGATGAAACCCTGTCTCTACTAAAAATACAAAAATTGCCGGGCGTGGTGACACACATCTGTAATCCCAGCTACTCGGGAGGCTGAGGAAGGAGAATCACCTGAACCTGGGAGGCGGAGGCTGTAGTGAGCCAAGATGGAGCCACTGCACTCCAGCCTGGGCAACTCAGTGAGACCGTCTCAAAAAAAATAACAAAATTTAAAAAATAAAAAATAAACACTACTCTACTCTTAAACAGCTGCTTAAATGTAGGTGATGGTACATACTTCTTGGCTGGCATTGGCTGCAACAAGGATTGCAAATCAAATCAGTCTCCATTGCAACATCAACTTCAACTGACTGGAAGTGACACCAAGATCGCTGGTCCCAAACTCTGCTGTTAGAATCACCCGGGAGAATCTGAAAACTCCCAGTGCCCAGGTCACATTCCATAACAAGGACCCCAGAGTGAAAGCCAGGCTTCAGAAGTCTTTAGAGGTCCCCAGGTGTTTGCACTGGATAGCAAGGTCTGGGAACTGCAAGCTCAGAAGATCATTTTTGAGAAGAACGCTGAAGCAGGGTACACCAGAAAAAAGCATCATGACCAACAAAGTCTGCCAGGGCACAACAAGCACAGCTCAGTCACATGCTATGGAGCTGCCACTCCTAAACAAGAAGTTAAAGGTAGATCAGTGCTGGGCACGGTGGCTCATGCCTATAATCCCAGCACTTTGGGAGACCCAGGCAGGCGGATCACAAGGTCAGGAGATCGAGACCACCCTAGCTAACATGATGAAACCCTGTCTCTACTAAAAATACAAAAAAATTTGCCAGGCGTGGTGGCGGGCGCCTGTAGTCCCAGCTACTCAGGAGGCTGAGGCAGGAGAATGGTGTGACCCCGAGAGGCGGAGCTTGCAGTGAGCCGAGATCGCACCACTGCACTCCAGCCTGGGCGACAGAGCGAGACTCTGTCTCAAATAAATGAATGAATGAATGTAGACCAGTGCCCACCAGAAGCAGGAAGGGCAGCTAACATCCTGTATCACCTTTCCATACATTTGCTCATTCAACCAGGTGTATTTCATTAAATCAGAACTGAAAAGGGAGAAACAGAATTGAAAAAGAAAACCTTGAAGAGAAAATCTGCATAGTTAAGGAAGTGTTGGAATGCTTACCCTCAACTCTACTTCCATGCCGAGCAAGTCATACAGAGATGCTCCTTTGGAGGTGATTTCAGACGCAAGCTGCCTGGCTGCCTTCAAATCTGCAATCTGGAAGGAAAATAACAAAAACAGATCCCTCAGCAACAGATTTTTTAAATAGAGGCAGGGTCTTGGCTATGTTACCCAGGCTGCTCTCTAACTCCTGGCCTCAAGTGACCCTCCTACCTCAGCCTCCCAAAGTGTTGCAATTATAGGCAGAACCACCATGTTCAGCCAGTCATAGATTTCTTTCTTTTTTTTTTTTTCTGAGACGGACGGAATTTCGCTCTTGTTGCCTAGGCTGGAGTGCAATGGCGCGATCTTGGCTCACCATAATCTCCACCTCCCGGGTTCAAGTAATTTTCCTTCCTCAGCTTCCCAAGTAGCTGGGATTACAGGTATGTGCCACCACGCCTGGCTAATTCTGTATTTTTAGTAGAGACAGGGTTTTTCCATGTTGATGAGGCTGGTCTTTAACTCCTGACCTCAGGTGATCCACCCACCTCGGCCTCCCAAAGTGCTGGGATCACAGGTGTGAGCCACCGCGCCCAGCCAGCCACAGATTTTTAACATGCATTTAACCACCAGCCTGTTCATGTCAGCTCCTACCTTTGGTTGGGACACGTGACCACAAACATGTGCTTCCCCAGTCACACGCTCACAGGCTGCAGGACACACACTCAAGAAATGATCATCTAAGTACTAAAGAGACCAATTCCAGGACGCTTAGGTCTCTCCAAAAAACCTAATGTCACATCAAACTGAAGCCCCAACCAGGAGGGCATAGCTGGGAGAAAGCCCGCATGCCTCCTACCTGGACTCTGTCACAGTAGAGGGTGTCCGGCAGCAGCAGAGTGACCACACGAAAGGACAGCCTGAGGGACACACATCCTCTTGAAGCAGCCTGACGGCCTGTGTTTTGTACCCCCCGTCCTCCTTCTCTGCCTCAGACTTTCCTCCACAGGCTTGGAGAGGCTCAAATGGGGTGGCACCCACTAAGGACTTACAATGGTTCTAGGCTCCACAGAGGGGCAGCTGTTGCCAGGAAGGCGATGACAAGCACAATGAGGATTTAGCACTGATCCCTTTGCATAGGCTTCTTAGGATGTGCATGTCACCCCCTCTTCCTGGAATATGCTAACTCTTCTAATGAGCCCAAACATAAACGTCTCCCTGCTCTGCTCACTCTCCCTCTCTCCTGGACAACTAATCCCCACGTTCTGGCTCTCATTTTCAACCCACTAGCAACAACTCTCCCTCTTCATTCGCAGCTGATGGCTTTGATAGCTTGCTTCCCTCTTCCTTAGTCCTCCAGGATCCAGCCTGCTCTGGCTCTAGCTGCTTTTCTCCCTTCCGAACAGCACATCCCCAAACTTCTTTGCAGGAGTCTGTCACCTTCTCTGCTTCTCAACACTGGAGGGAGTCAGTTTCGTCCCGGGAACCGGTCTTTTCTGCTGGCTCTGCTCCTACCCACACGGCTTTAATACCATCTGTGTGCTGATTCCTCCCCCAGCTCCCAGATCCAGCCTGGGCTTTCCATGGGCTCTAGTCTCACATACTAGCTACCTGCGCACTATCTCCACCCGGACAGCCAATGGGCGTGGCTAATGGAGCATGTCCAGAACCTTCTCTGCTTCAGTACATGGCAACTTCATCCTTCTAGGGGCTCACATAAAAAACTTCAGGGCAGTGATGTCTAATATAGTAACCACTAGCTACATGTGGCCATTTTCACTTAAATTACTTACAAATTAAAGAAAATGCAGAACTCAACTCAGTTCCTCAGTTGTGCTCGCCACATGTGGCCAGTGGTTCCCGCAGAGTACAGCACAGAGGTGGAACACACCCACGAGTTCTGCAAGCTCTGCCACACGGCTGCCCCAAGACCTTGCCTGTAGCACCTGGCTTACTCTCAACCCACGCCTCATCCCATGAGATCTACCATCAAAATACGCCTCAATCTCTAGACACTTCTGCTGACAAGTGTCGCTCCTGGTTAAAAACCCATGTGTGAGGCCAGGCGCAGTGGCTCACGCCTATAATCCCAGCACTTTGGGAGGCCGAGGCAGGCAGAGCACCTGAGGTCAGGAGTTTGAGACTAGTTGGCCGACATGGTGAAACCCCATCTGCTCTCGCCACATGTGGCTGCAGTGGTTCCCGGGTGAGAGTACAGCACAGAGGTGGAACACACCACGAGTTCTGGGTAAGCTCTGCCACACGGCTGCCTCAAGACCTTGCCTGTAGCACCTGGCTTACTCTCAAACTCCATCGCTTCATCCCATGAGATCTACCATCAAAATACGCCTCAATCTCTAGACACTTCTGCTGACAAGTGTCGCTCCTGGTTAAAAACCCATGTGTGAGGCCAGGCGCAGTGGCTCACGCCTATAATCCCAGCACTTTGGGAGGCCGAGGCAGGCAGAGCACCTGAGGTCAGGAGTTTGAGACTAGTTGGCCGATATGGTGAAATCCCATCTCTACTAAAAAAAAAAAAAAAAAAAAAAATACAAGGCGCGCAGTGGCTCATGCCTGTAATCCCCAGCACTTTGGGAGGCCGAGGCAGGCGGATCACCAGGGTCGGGAGTTCAAACCAGCCTGACCAACATGGAGAAACCCTGACTCTACTAAAAGTACAAAAATTAGCCGGCATGGTGGCGCATGCCTGTAATCTCAGCTACCAGGAGGCTGAGGCAGGAGAATCACTTGAACCTGGGAGGCACAGGTTGCGGTGAGCTGAGATCGTGCCATTGCACTCCAGCCTGGGCAAGAAGAGTGCAACTCCATCTCAAAGAAAGAAAAAGAAAAAAAAAAAGCCAGGCGTGATGGTGTGCGCCTGTAATCCCAGCTACTTAGGAGGCTGAGGCAGGAGAATCTCTTGGACCTGGGAAGCAGAGGCGCAGTGAGCCAAGATTGTGCCATTGCACTCCAGCCTGGGTGACAGAAACTTTGTCTCAAAACAAAACTAAACATCTATGTGTGACTTTTCAAGCCCAACCATAGACAATGACAAGGCCTCACCTAGCAGGCCCACAGGGGAAGCTTTCTTCCCCGCACCAGACTTGGAGCTCGGCTAGCGCACTGCGGTTTCAGGCACCCTGCGTGGCCACGCTCCTAGGTACATTCCCAGCCCCAGGGCCTTCATTCCTAGGTCTCCTGCTCTGAGGCCTTGGGCTTAACTAAAGCCTTAACCTTTATTTCTGGCTTGCTGCTGCGGTGGCTCCCTGACACCTGACAGCGCCTCTCCCACCACCACTCTGCTCAAAGCCATGGTCACCCCTCACTCTCCAAACAGGTTCGCTGCTTCCAGACCTGCCTCCCGCTTCAGTCTGATGGCAGCTCAGCAGCCAGAGCAACCCTTTGGATGGGAAATAAGCATAGAAGACTCTGCTCAGATCCCAAAGATTCCCACCTCAGAGGCAAAGGCAAAGGCTTTCCAGGGGCTTCCCAGGCACTAGAGGGTCTGTCACTCCCAACCCTCATCACATTGCCTCCTTGCTTTTTCTCAAACACACAAAACACATTCTTTTTTTCACCCCCAGACAAAGTCTTGTTCTGTTGCCTAGGCTGGAGAGCAGTGGCCTGAACATGGCTCGACTGCCTGGGCTCAAGAGATCCTCTCACTTTAGCCTCCTGAGCAGCTGGGACCACAGGTGTGCACCACCACGCCTTGCTAAATCTCTTCTTTATTTGGTAAAAATGGCATCTCACTATGTTGCCCAGGTTGGTCTCAAACTCTTGGCCTCAAAGGATCCTCCCACCTCAGCCTTCCAAAATGCTTGGCTTATAGAAGTGAGTCACTGCACCCAGCGCCAAACAAATTCTCATCCTGAGACACCCTGTCGCCACCCGCCAACTGCACAACTCACTCTTTCCCTCCCTCAGATCTCTGCTGGAAACACCATCCAATCTATGAGGCCTTCCTGATCGCCCTATTTAAGATCACCCCGGGCAGCATCCATCCCCATCCCAGCTTATTATTCTCCGCAGACTACACTGCATCTGACCTTCCACACCTCTTACATTATTGTTCACAGTCTGACTCCTCCAACTAAAGAGCAGAAACACATGATTTCTGTCCTTTTTGTCCACAACTGTATCCCCAGCGCTTGAATACCTGACAAATACTAAGCTTTTAATAAATAGTTTAATTACTGGATTGTGAATTTGCCTTTATCCAAACGCTGATGAGCACAAAACTGACAAACTGCCCTCAGTTGAGGAGGAAGAAAAGCAGTGGAGCTGTAGCAGACTCCTTCCATTTCAGAGTTCAAGAAATCAATGCTCCATCGCTCACTACAAGGCTTTCGTTGTCCTTACCTTTGAGCCAAGATCAAACTTGAATTTGTTGACATCTTCCTCTACTATTTCAGAGCCCTCCATCCCCTTGGTCTTCATAGCATTATAAAGGACAGATGTGATCTTCAACAGCTCTTTTACTGCATACCCATCTGCTTGATAAAGCTTCTTAGTGTTGAGTTTTATATGTGCCTTGGTGGCCTATTTTTAGAACAAAAAAAAAAGTTGAGGGCCCTTTCCATGTAATGTCTAAACCAAATCCCATGTAGGTAAGTTGAAAATGCCTCTGCTGACAACTGGGATACAACCTAATAAGAGTAAGCATTCAAGTGACTGAAACATTGTGAGTGGGTATATAAACTAGGATAATCTTGATGGAAAGCAACTTGGTAAAAGACGCCAAAACTACCAATGCACATATCTTTTGATCCAGCAATTCCAAATCTAAGAACTTATTCTAGGGACACACTCAAACATAAACAAAATGAGATGTACAGGGTACTTGTTATAGCATTGTTTCAAACAGCAAAGCTTGAGACAACCTAAAAGCCTACCTATATAAATTACATAAATTATGGCATATCCATGCAAACAATACCACTCAGGTGTAAACAGAATGAGGAAATTCTATATGTATTTGGAAAGTTCTCTAAAATATACCACTAAGTAAAACAAGATGCTAAACACCTTGTAGTGTACACTAAGTACATCAAGTAGTATACAGTACCATTTGTGTAAAATAAAGGAAAAAAATATTTTTATTTGCACATACACACACACTCTCTGGAAGAGATTTAAAATAGTGATTATTTGCAATAGAACTCAGCCCAGGACAGATAGTGTAGAAAGTCATTTTACTCCATTTTGTTACATAATGTTTTTAATTAATTAATTTATTTTTTTAAAGATAGGGTCTCACTCTGTCACCTGGGCTGGAGTGTAATGACATGATCATGGCTCACTGCGGCTTCAACCTCCCGGGCTCTAGCAATCCTCCCACCTCAGCCTCCCAAGTAACTGAGACTACAGGCACATGTCACCAGGCCCACCTAATTTTTTTTTAATTTATTTTTTGTAGAGACAGGATCTTACTACATCACCCAGGCTGTTCTCAAACTCCTGGACTCAAGTTATCCTCCCACCTTGGTCTGCTAAAGTGCTAGGATTACAGGCATGAACAACCAAGCCCAGCCTACTTTCAATCTGTGAGCCACGAAATATGTTACCTATTCAAAAATAAAGAAACAAAATTCTTTTTTTTTTTGATGGAGTCTCGCTCTGTTGCCCAGGCTGGAGTGCAGTGGTGTGATCTCAGCTCACTGCAAGCTCCGCCTCCCGGGTTCACACCATTCTCCCACCTCAACCTCCCAAGTAATTGGGACTACAGGCACCCACCACCACACCCAGCTAATTTTTTGTATTTTTAGTGGTTAGCCAGGATGGTCTCAATCTCCTGACCTCGTGATCCGCCTGCTTCAGCCTCCCAAAGTGCTGGGATTACAGGCATGAGCCACCATGCCCGGTATAAACAAAATTCTTAACACATAATGAATTAAAAGACAAACAAACAAAAAGAACCTCGCTGGTGAAATGGCGCCACAGAAACCCAGCAATGGAATGGTTTTAGAAGGCAAACTCAGGCCAGGCATGTGGTGGTTCACATCTGTAATCCCAACACTTTGGGAGGCCAAGGCAGGTGGATCATGTGAGGACGGGAGTTTGAGACCAGCCTGGCCAACATGGTGAAACCGTCTCTACTAAAAACACAAAAATTCACCAGGTGTGGTGGCGTGTGCCTGTAATTTCAGCTACTCAGGAGGCTGAGACAGGAGAACCCCCCAGGAGGCAGAGGTTGCAGTGAGGCAAGATTGCACCACTGCACTCCAGCCTGGGTGAGAGAATGAGACTCCATCTCAAAAAAAAAAGAAAGAAAAATTCAATTACTCAGTTTCAAAGTAGCCCTAATGAGGAGTCATCCTTTCTAGTTTACTTAATTTTATAACTCCACAAAATAAACGTCCACTAACCATGAACTGGGCAATTGCCTTAATGAAGAAAACTCGGTCCTGTTCAGTGTCCACATCAGGCGGGATGTCAGTCTGGGGCTCATACCTATCAGAGAGGTAAGAGGAGAGAGCACAGGTTAACCACGGAGAAAGTCCACTAAAGAGAATGTGGGCAACTGAGAGGACAGTGGGTCTGGAACAAAGCTCTCCAAGTCCCCAAGTGTGATAGTAAGATCAATGCAAACTTCAAAAGTAAAACCAAAATACCAAGGGAGCAAATCCCCACCTAAGAACAAAAGATTTCAAAAACTAAATGTGGGTCTCAGCTTATAAAATTAAATCTCTCTCAGACGTCAACATGTCATGAAACTAATCAGAACTGCTACCCTGGCTGACGGCCTTTGACTCAGAGCAGTGCTAGGGCTGATTAGTCAGCTCTAAGCAGCAGCAGAGTTGACGAAGTTATTTTCTTCAAGGTATTGATACCAGGGGTAAGCAGACTGCAGCCTCCAACCTTTACAGCCTCCAAGCAAAGAACTCTTTTTACATTTTAAGAAAAAGAAGAGACAATAGAGATCGTATGCAGTCTCTGAATTTTATGTTTAGCAAAAGGTAAAATGTTTATTATCTGGTCCTTAACAGAAAAAGCTGCCAACTCTGAATCATATATCATATTCAATTTTTCACAGAAAAAGAAACCTACATTATTTCTAATCAACTGTATTGATTAGAATGTGCAAAAAGGCCCCTGTCACTCTGCAGTGAGGGACTGAAGAGCAGCCTGGCCCAGCACCCTACTGAGGAATAGTCAGTCTCCTTTCACCACTTCCTGGTATATTTCCCTCTCCCACAGCATTTTTTAAACTCCACTGATTTTTTTTTTTTTTTTTTTTTTTTTTTTTTTTTAGACAGAGTCTCAATCTGCCCGGGCTGGTGTGCAGTAGCATGATCAGTGGCACTGCAGCCTCAAACTCCCAGGATCAGGCGATCCTCCTCAGTCTCCTGAGTAGCTGGAACTATGAGTGTGCACCACCCACGCTCAGCTAATTGTTCTTTTGTGTGTGGAGACAGGGTCGTGCTATGTTGACCAGGCTGGTCTCGAATTCCTGAGATTATAAAGTGCTGGGAATATAGGAACGAGCCACTGTGCCCAGCCACAGCTACGTTTCAACAGATTACAATTGGGTCTGTCAAACTCAAACAACTCTTCCTTTTGCAGCATCACAACTATGTCCTGCTTTCTAGGTGACCAACAAATAAAATCCAGTATTCACTCTTAGACATCAATAAAGTGCAGTTCTAACCTTTTCACAAGCCAGAGAAGCACTTCAGATACAAGTCCAAAATTGGGTGTACGGAAATTTTCCATAGAAATATGTCGAGGGTATCCCAGGGCTCTCATCATCTCTGTGAAATCTGTCCAAGGAAAAATATAATTCATTCAGTTCCCCGTCACATAGCAACTACTTGTTAACTTAGGTATTGTCTTTACTTTTCCTTCTTATTGCCAATCTATTGACAGCTTTAGGGATTAACTGTCAACTTTCTACAAGGGAACATAAAAAAGAGATAAAATTTAAAATACCAAAAATGCTACCTAAAAAGCATGTAAGTTCAATGGGAGAAGTAGATGGCTATACATGAAAATAGAATTGAGGGATTAGCTGTGAATTTCATTTCTCTCTTTAATATCTCATTTCTTTTTACTGCTAAAAGTAAGAAACACCTGTCCTTATAAAATGTCATGAAGAAAAAGTATTTTTTTCTTTTTCTTTTTCTTTTTTTTTGAGACGGAGTCTCACTCTGTCGCCCAGGCTGGAGTGCAGTGGCCTGATCTCGGCTCACTGCAAGCTCCGCCTCCCGGGTTCACGCCATTCTCCTGCCTCAGCCTCCTGAGTAGCTGGGACTACAGGCGCCCGCCACCACGCCCGGCTAATTTTTTTTGTATTTTTAGTAGAGACGGGGTTTCACTGTGTTCAACAGGATGGTCTCGATCTCCTGACCTCATGATCCGCTCGCCTCGGCCTCCCAAAGTGCTGGGATTACAGGCGTGAGCCACTGCGCCCGGCCTAGAAAAAGTATTTTTAAATGTCAACAGTGGTCTGACTCAAATTCAGCTGATTAAAAATTATTTTAAAATGTTAACAGTGGTTATTTCTGAGGCAAATCGGTAGGATGACATTCATGTTTCTGAGTTGTCTTTTTTTTTAAATTTTAGTGAGCATATAGGACCCAAATAACACAAGTTTTAAAGATCAGTTGCCATGTATTTAGGGAAATCTTAAATACAGTGGTTGAACTACACAACTATGTTTAGATTTATTACAAAACAGATTAAGAAATAGTAATACTAATACTTGTTGATCCATAGGTTGGGGTCACCTCAGGAAAAGCATTAGTGCTTTCAAGAAAGCAGGACTTGGAAATGAACACCACAAACATTGTTGAGCTCCCATGATGTACCAAGATTTACATTCAGTGTGCTTCCTGGTTATTTAAGGTCTGTCTGCACTCTTCTTGAAGATCCATGTTCAAAATGGTCCATCAATGTTCACAAATAACCTACCTGGGTACTGGAAGTCAGGTCAGACTTCACAAGACAATGGAAGAAGAAGTGTGAGCATAGGAAACAGCAAAGTCACAAAGGGACTCTGTAACTGTTTTCTGGGAAATGTGAATATGGAGATTTAAAAAAAAAATAACTGGGTGTGGTGGTGCATGCCTGTGGTCCCAGTTATTCAGCAGGCTGAGGTGTGAGGATCACCTGAGCCCAGGAAGTTGCAGTGAGCTGAGATCATGTGACTGCACTCCAGCCTGGGTAACAGAGTGAGACCCTGTCTCAGAAACAAAAACAAAAAAAGGCCGGGCGCAGGTAGTTCACGCCTGTAATCTCAGCACTTTGGGAGCCAAGGCGGGTAGATCACCTGAGGTCAGGAGTTCAAGACCAGCCTGGCTACAATGGTGAAACCCCACCTCTACTAAAAATACAAAAGTTGCTGGGCACCGTGGCTCACGCCTGTAATCCCAGCACTTTGGGAGGCCGAGGCGGGCGGATCATGAGGTCAGGAGATCGAGACCATCCTGGCTACCATGGTGAAACCCCGTCTCTACTAAAAATACAAAAAAAATTAGTCAGGTGTGGTGGCAGGCACCTGTAGTACCAGCTACTCGGGAGGCTGAGGCAGGAGAATGGCGTGAACCCGGGAGGCAGAGCTTGCAGTGAGCCGAGATTGCAACACTGCACTCCAGCCTGGGCGACAGAGCAATATTCCATCTCAAAAATAAATAAATAAATAAATAAACAAATAAATAAATAAATAAATAAATACATAGATACATACAAAAGTTAGGTGGGCGTGGTGGTGGGCATTTATAATTCCAGATATTGAAGAGACTGGGGCAGGAGAATCACTTGAACCTGGGAGGCAGCAGTTGCAGTGAGCCACGATCACACCATTGCACTCCAGCCTGGGCGAGAGAGCAGCCTTTCCTTCACACAGTAAGGCACTCCCTAAATACTTCTGACCACTAGGTACTAGTCAAGTTCTGTTAACGTTGCAGTGTTATTGTCAAAATAGAGACTAATTTGAGTAAGATCCTTACCATACAACGCACAACTGCAGAGCATTAATTTAAGGTCAAAATAGTTTGAAATCGGCCGGGCGCGGTGGCTCAAGCCTGTAATCCCAGCACTTTGGGAGGCCGAGACGGGCGGATCACGAGGTCAGGAGATCGAGACCATCCTGGCTAACACAGTGAAACCCCGTCTCTACTAAAAAAAAAAAAAACACAAAAAACTAGCCGGGCGAGGTGGCGGGCGCCTGTAGTCCCTGCTACTCGGGAGGCTGAGGCAGGAGAATGGCGTAAACCCGGGAGGCGGAGCTTGCAGTGAGCTGAGATCCGGCCCTGCACTCCAGCCCGGGTGACAGAGCAAGACTCCGTCTCAAAAAAAAAAAAAAAAAAAAAAATATTTTGAAATCTCCGTGTATGCTCTTCCCAACAAAACCCCATTCTACGTCCCCTGGCAGGGTGCTGGCCTCTCTAAAAATTATGTGGGAGGAGACACTCATCCTGTATGATGTGTGGCCACCAAAAACCTTCAAACCCCAGAGGACAGGATTCACACTCTGGTGCTCAGTGGCTGCATGAATAAAAGGTAATACGTTTTCCTAGATATTTTTACATTGTAGAAAAGAGCAATTCATAACCAAAGGAGTAATCTCTAATGCTAAAATTTCAGGCACCAGCAATTTGCTGAGAAAATTGATTCTTTAAGAGACCCCTAAGATCACACCAAATTGGCAATCATCTACTATTCCTTTTTTTTTTTTTTTTTAAGACAGTTCCATTCTGTCACCCAGGATGGAGAGCAGTGGTATGATCTTGGCTCACCGCAACTTCTGCCTCCAGGGATCAAACAATTCTCCTGCCTCAGCCTCCAGAGTAGCTGGGACCACAGTTGTGCGCCACCATGCCCTAATTTTTTGAATTTTTAGCAGAGGCGGGGTTTCACCATGTTGGCCAAGCTAGTCTTGAATTCCTGACCTTCAGTGATCCGCCTGCCTCAGTCTTCCAAAGTGCTGGGATTACAGGCGTGAGCCACTGTGCCCGGTCGTAACCAACACTCTTAGCCTCATTCTTCCACTTCCCCACCCTCTTAGCAAAGGAATTCGAGCTCCCTTCTCACCAGCCCTGCAGAAAGGATGCAGACGGAGTTCAGGAGGTCTGGAGTTCAGGCAACCTGAATTCAAACCCCAGTGCCACCTCCTATCGCCTGTGTCACCTGCTCAAGTTACCTGACCTCTCTGTGCCCGTTTCCTCACTTCCAGATGCAGGCGGTACAGTTGTTCAGATGATTAAAATGAAATGCACATAATACAGAGTGGGCCCTGGCAGATCGTTAAAACTCAAAAAATGGTAGCTGCAATGACCATCACCCAGCCCCTCTCCTCAGTTTCGCTGCTGTTTTTTTGTTTTGTTTTGGTTTGGGGTTTTTTGTTTTTGTTTGTTTGTTTTGAGATGGAGTTTCGCTCTTGTCCCCCAGGCTGGAGTGCAATGGCCCGATCTCGGCTCACCGCAACCTCCGCCTCCCGGGTTCAAGCGATTCTCCTGCTTCAGCCTCCCGAGTAGCTGGGATTACAGGCGCCCGCCACCACCCCCAGCTAATTTTGTAATTTTAGTAGAGACGGGGTTTCTTCATGTTGGTCAGGCTGGTCTCGAACTCCCGACCTCAGGTGATTCCCCCGTCCCGCCCTCCCAAAGTGCTGGGATTACAGGCGTGAGCCACCAAGCCCGGCCTGCTGTTCGGTTTTCTAAGCGCTAAGCTAACCCAACTCAAAAAATAGTCTCTAAATTATCCATGCATTTTCCAATACTGTAGCTAACAGCGGCATGCAGCTACACAAATACAAATGAGTTACACTTAAAATTTCAGTTATTCATCTGCACTAGCCACATTTCGAGCGCTTTGAGCCAAACGCGGCCAGTGGCAGATAAAGAACTTTCCATCCTCGCTAGAAATGGCCTAAGAAGGGCCTGGGGCACTCGGCGGGGTTGCAGCCGCGGGTCAGAGGCGTTCCTTGAGGCGCAGAGGCCCGAAAGGAGGCTCTGGCAGCGCAAGCCTCAGGGGTCGCCTACATAGGGGACCCGGCAGGCGGGAGCCGTGACTCTCTGGAAGACCCGCAGGTCACAGGGGCGCGGGGCTGCCTTACTGCGGAGGTCGCGGAAAGACATAACGCTCAGGTCCCCAGGAGCCCAGGATCGCAGCTGCTCGCCCCTCAGCGCTCACAGGCCCAGCGCTCGCCGGTCTCTATGGCAACCAAAGGACCCTTGGACGGCGCACGGTTAGGGACAAATAAGAAGGGAAGCGAAGGCGCCGCGGTTCGTGCACGCGTACAAGGAGAGCGGGCGGGCAGAGGGCGCTCCTGAGACGTCTAGGGCAGAGGGCGTGGTAATCCCAGCGTCTATGGGGGCTGCAAGCTCCCCGGCTTCTGGGCCTGTGTTTAAACGCTTTGCGGACGTTTCGCGCTGGCTGACAGACTCTGAGTACCTACTATGTGCTTGACATTGCGCTAGGCGCTTCCCATAATGCTTATTTCCCCCTCATTTCTATAAAGAATGCACGATACTCGGCCGGGCGCGATGGCTCACGCCCATAATCCCAGCACTTTGGGATGCCGAGGCGGGCTGATCACTTCAGGTCAGGAGTTAGAGACCAGCCTGGCCAACATGGCGAAACCCCCGTCTCTACCAAAAAATACAAAAATTAGCCAAGTGTGTGGCGCACACCTGTAATCCCAGCTACTCGGGAGGCTGAGGCAGAAGAATTACTTGAACCCGGGAGGTGGAGGTTGCAGTGAGCCGAGATCACGCCACTGCACTCCGGCCTGGCGACAGAACAAGACTCTGTCTCAAAAAAAAAAAAAAGAATGCACTATACTCCAGAAGCCGGACTTCCCGGGCCCGAGGCACAGCGCGCTCCCAGTTGGAATCCGGTTGCGGAGCGGAGGACGAGATCACTACCGGCGCCCAGAGGCAGGCCAGGCCCGGGTCTCGCGCACGCGCAGACGGCTCGGGCTTCGCAACAGGTCGGAAAGCTGCCCCCAGTCGCGCGTGCCGCGCGGGTCAGGGAAGCCCCTGCCTCTGCGGGAGGGCGCGAGCAGGCGGCCGGAAGGGGCGCCCCCACGTGTGAAATGGGGAGATACCCCGACAGGCGTGGCACAGCAGCCGGGTTTTGTAAAGTAGCTTGAGCAGGAACAAGGAAACAGCGTAGTGCACAAAGCGATTGGTTGGCATCAGGTTATTTCAGATGCATTTCTTTGTGTGGGTTAAAGCAGAGGGGGCTTCCTTATGCCAGCCTAGGTGGACAGGGCCCCTTCTGTTGGTTGCAGTGAATCTTTTGTGTTTTGGCACACTGGCCTGTCTCTAAGTTCGCTTTGATTACGTGGCACCTTGCACTAGCGGTTCCATTCTGGTTTAGTCTGGTCCGTTGGTACCTTGTGCAGGAAGGAGCTTGCTCCAAAACAATGGCCTCCCATAAATGTTACTTCACGTGTTATTAAGAAAAACAAAAGGTAAGCCACAGTCTAGGTGAAAATATTCACAAAACCCATATCTGATAAAGAAACGTGTATTCAGAATGTATAAAGAACTCTCAACACTCAATGAGAAACTGTCTAGAGAATGGAGAAAACATTTTAAAAGATGCTTCACAAGGCCGGATGCGGTGGCTCAAATCTGTAATCCCAGCACTTTGGGAGGCTGAGGCGGGTGGATCACCTGAGGTCAGAAGGTCAAGAGCAGCCTGGTCCACATGGTGAAACCCCATCGCTACTAAATATACAAAAATTAGCCAGACGTGGTGGCAGTCGCCTGTAATCTCAGCTACTTGAGAGGCTGAGGCAGGAGAATTGCTTGAAACCGGGGGTGGAGGTTGCAGTGAGCCGAGATCGCACCATTGCGCTCCAGCCTGGGCAACAAGAGCAAAAACTTCGTCTCAAAAAAAAAAAAAAAAAAAAGGTACTTCACAAAAGAAGATATATGGTTGGCTAATCTGCAAATGAAGAGATGATCAAGGTTATTATTAGAGAAGTGCGTATTAAACCACAATGAGATATCACTATGAAGTTATTAAATTGGCTAAAACGTGCCATATCAGGTAACACGTTAAAAACCTAAAAATTGGCGGGGCGCGGTGGCTCATGCTTGTAATCCTAGCACTTTGGGAGGCAAGGCAGGCAGATCACGAGGTCAGGAGATCGAGACCATAAAATTGGCGTGGCGCGGTGGCTCATGCTTGTAAATCCTAGCACTTTGGGAGGTGGCGGCGGAGATCGCCGCCGAGGTCAGGAGATCGAGACACGGTGGAAACCCGTCTCTATTGTGTTAGCAAAAACTAGCCGGGCGGGTGGTGAAGCGCTATAACTGCCAGCTTCCTGGGAGGCTGAGGCAAGAGACGTAGGGGGAGGCGCTAGGTGGCTGAGATTGTGCCAGGCAGCTGGAGGCCCCAGCCTGGGCAGCAGAGCCAGACTCTGTCTCAAAAAAAAAAAAAAAAAAAACCTAAAAATTAAATCTAGATAAAATGGCTAAAACAACAAAAAACTCTTGACAATGACAAGAGCTTGAAAGGATGTTGATCAACTTGAACTTTTTAATTTTTATTTCATTTATTATTATTATTATTATTATTATTATTATTATTATTATTTGAGACGGAGTGTTGCTCTTGTTGCCCAGGCTGGAGTGCAGTGGCACATTCTCAGCTCACTGCAACCTCCGCCTCCCGGGTTCAAGTGATTTTCCTGCCTCAGCCTCTGGAGTAGCTGGGATTACAGATGTGCACCACCATGCCCAGCTAATTTTTGTAATTTTAGTAGAGATGGAGTTTTGCCATGTTGGCGTGAGTCACTGCACGCAGCCTGCATTTCCCTGATGATCAAAAATGTTGAACATCTTTTTACATGTTTGGTGACCATTTGTATATTTCCTTTGGAAAAATGTCCAGTCATGTTCTTTGCTCATTTCAAAATTGGGTTGTACATCCTTTTGTTTTTAAATTGTAAGAGTTATTTATATATTCTGCATATGAGACCCTTATCAGATACATGATTTGCCAATATTTTCTTACATTTCATAGGTTGTCTTTTCACTTGTTTATTTGTATTTATTTATTTATTGTTTTGAGATGGAGTCTCGCTCTGTCACCCAGGCTGCAGTGTAGTGGCGAGATCTCAGCTCACTGCAAGCTCCGCCTCCAGGGTTCACACCATTCTCTTGCCTCAGCCTCCTGAGTAGCTGGGACTACAGGCGCCCGCCACCACGCCCGGCTAATTTTTGTATTTTTAGTAGAGATGGGGTTTCATTTCACCATGTTAGCCAGGATGGTCTCGATCTCCTGACCTCGTGATCCGCCTGCCTCGGCCTCCCAAAGTGCTGGGATTACAGGTGTGAGCCACTGCGCCTGGGCTTTTTTCACTTGTTGTTATTGTTATTGTTGTTGTTGTTGTTGTTTTAAGACAGGGTCTCACTCTCTTGCCCAGGCTGGAATGCAGTGGTGTGATCACAGCTCACTGTAACCCACTCCTGGGTTCAAACAATCCTCCTGCCTCAGCCTTCCAAGTAGGTGGGACTACAAGCACATGCCAACATTCCCAGCTTGTTTTCGTATTTTTTGTAGGGACAGGGTTTTGCTCTGTTGCCCAGGCTGGTTTCGAGCTCCTGGACTCAAGAGATCTGCCTGCCTCAGCCTCCCATAGGGCTGGGATTACAGGTGTGAGCCACTGTGCCCAGCTTCTTTTTTCTTCTTGATAGAGGTTTTGCAGCATGAAAGTTTTTAATCTTAATGAGGTACAATTTATCTATTTTTTCTTTTGGTGTCATATCCAAAAATCAATTGCCAAATCCCTGTGTTTTCTTCTGAAGGTTTTATAGTTTTACCTCTTACATTTAAGTTTTGGGTCAATTCTCAGTTAATTTTTAAATTTGATGTGAGATAGGAATTCAATCTTATTTTTTTGCATGTGGCTGTTCATTTCTCCAGCAACATTTGTTGCAGAGACTATTGTTTCCTACACTGAATGGTCTTGGTACCTTTATCAAAATCAATTGACCATAGATGAATGGGTTTATTTCTGGGTTTTCTATTATATTTCATTGGTCTAGATGTTTATTCTTATGCCTGTTGCACACTGTTTTGATTACTGTGTTTTGTAGTAAGTGTTGAAATCAGAAAGTGTGGTTTTGATTTCTTTTTATTTTTATTTTTTTATTTTGGAGTCTTGCTCTGTCACCCAGGCTGGAGTGCACTGGCACAATCTCGACTCATTGCAACCTCTGCCTCCCGGGTTCAATCGATTCTCCTGCTTCAGCCTCCCAAGTAGCTGGGATTACAGGTGCCCGCCACCACGCCCAGCTAATTTTTTGTATTTTTAGTAGAGACAGGGCTTCACTACGTTGGCCAGGCTGGTCACAAACTCTTGACCTCAGGTGATCTGACCACCTCAGCGTCCCAAAGTGCTGGGATTACAGGTGTGAGCCACCATGCCCAGCCGTGTTTCTAGTTTCTGAAGATCTGCTTTTCCAAGATTGTTGTGGTTATTTGGGCTCCCTTGTAATTTCACATGAATTTTAGGATTAGCTTTTCCCTTTCTGCTTGTGATCATTAATTTTGTGTATCAACTTGACTGGGATGCCTGGTAAAACCTTATTTTTGGGTGTGCCTGTGTAAGCGTTTCTAGAAGAGATTAGCATTTGAATTGGTAGACTGAGTAAAGAAGATTGCCCTCACCGATGTGGTGGGCATCATCCAATCTGCTGGGCACCCAATTACGACAAAAATGCAGAGGAGGGGTGAATTCACGCTGTCTTCATGAACTGGGACATCCTTCTTCTCCTGCCCTTGGACATTGGAGCTCCTGGTTCTTGGACTTTTGGACACCAGGACTTATACCAGCCCTCACCCCCAGCCCTACACAGATTCTCATGCTTTTGAACTCAGACTTAATTACAGCACCAGTTTTCCTGGTTCTCCAGCTTGCAGGCAGCATATTGTGGGACTTTTTGTCCCCGATAATCACATAAGCCAATATCCCTAATGAATCTTCTCTTGGTCAGGCATGGTGGCTCACGCCTATCATCCCAGCACTTTGGGAGATGGAGGCAGGAGGATCACTTGAGCCCAGGAGTTCAAGACTGGCTCTGGGCAACATGGTGAGATCTCCATCACTAAAAGTAAAAAATTAAAAATTGAAAAATAAAAATAAATTTAAAAATTAGCCAGGCCTGGTGGCGCACACCTATAGTCCCAGCTACTTGGGAGGCTAAGGTGGGAGGATTGCCTGAGCCTGGTAAGTTGAGGCTGCAGTGAGCCATGATCATATCACTGTACTTCAGCCTGGGCAATGGAGCAAGGCCCTGTCTCAAAAAAAAGTATCTTATATGAAGAGATTTATTTATCCCCTAATAAATATTTTATCTATAAATATCTATATACATCCTGCTGATTATATTTCTCTGGAGAAACCTAATACACTACATGAAGGTCATTTTGATTTTGATAAGAATTGTACTGAGCACTTTGGGGAGTATTGCTATCTCAACAATATTAAGTCTTCAGTCCATGAACATGGGATGTTTTCCAATTTATTTAAGTCTTTAGATTCTCTCAGCAATTTTTTTTTTTTTTTTTTTTTTTTTTTTTTGAGACGGAGTCTGGCTCTGTCACCCAGGCTGGAGTGCAGTTGCCGGATCTCAGCTCACTGCAAGCTCCGCCTCCCGGGTTTACGCCATTCTCCTGCCTCAGCCTCCCGAGTAGCTGGGACTACAGGCGCCGCCACCACGCCCGGCTAGTTTTTTGTATTTTTTAGTAGAGACTGGGTTTCACCGTGTTAGCCAGGGTGGTCTCGATCTCCTGACCTCGTGATCCGCCCGTCTCGGCCTCCCAAAGTGCTGGGATTACAGGCTTGAGCCACCGCGCCCGGCCTCAGCAATGTTTTATAGTATTCAGAGTTGTCTTATACCTCCTTGGTTAAATGTATTCCTATTTTATTCTTTTTATTCTTTGCTAGTATCTAGAAATACAATTAATTTTTGTGTGGTGATTTTATGACTTGAGATTTTTCTGAACTTCATTAGCTCTGAAAAAGCTCTACTAGGTTTAGGATTTTTTTTTCAAGTGTGAATTATTTAATATTTCCTATATACAAGATTAGGTTGCTGGGTGCGGTGGGTCACGCCTGTAATCCCAGCACTTTGGTAGGCCGAGGTGGGAGGATCACCTGAGGTCAGGAGTTTGAGACCAGCCGGGCCAACATGGTGAAAGGCCGTCTCTACTAAAAATGCAAAGATTAGCTGGGCATGGTGGTGGGTGCCTGTAATCCCACCTACTCGGGAGGCCGAGGCAGAAGAAGCACTTGAACTTGGGAGACTGAGGTTGCAGTGAACCGAGATCGCGCCACTGCAGTCCAGCCTGGGCACCAAAGCGAGACTCCGTCTTAAAAAAAAAAAAAATCAGTCAGGTTGTCTGTGACTAGAGAAAACTGAATGTTTAACTTTTTTTTTTTTTTTTTTTTGGTCAGCATCCAAAATCTTTTTAATAAGAGGGTTCGTTTTCGTAGCCTCTTGCTGGCCCGTCGGCCTCTGGGGCTCTCGAACTTCCGGTCCCTGGAGCGGAAATAGGGTTTGGTATGGCTGTGCGGGGTTCCCAGGGCCTTGGCGAAATGCCGCTACACCTGTCGGCCCCTGCGAGGAGAGCAGGACTGTGCCGCCGCCCTTGGGGAAGTCCAGGCCCAGCTGGTAGAAAGTCAGGATCTTGCCCCCCACCCTGAGGATGCCGCTGCAGGCCGGCTGGTCACGGGCAGTGCACACACCCTCAGTTTGGGCACCTCCTGAACCCGCGCATCATCCGTTAGCGTCCCCACAACCACCGCCGTTTTGTTTCCCATCCAGGAAGCTTCATCTTCTGGATCATCCGAGAAAGGGACAGAGGTGGCCGGTTGGTGCGACTCATAAACAACCTCTTCAGCACAACCTGGTTGAATGTGGAGGTAGTTCGTCTGGCCAGTAACCTGCACAGCTTGACCAGCAGCCTCAGGTAGATATCCTGGCTCTTGGGCTCCTTGCGCCAAACCTTTAGGTCCTTGTTGCGGTGGATGTCAGCTCCCAAGATGGCGCCTCCTACTCAGCCAGGTCAGGGAAGATGAATGTTTTGTTTGTTTGTTTGAGACGGAGTCTCGCTGTGTGGGCTGGAGTGCACTGGCGCGATCTCGGGTCACTGCAAGCTCCACCTCCCTGGTTCACGCCATTCTCCTGCCTCAGCCTCCCGGGACTACAGCCGCCCGCCGCCACGCCTGGCTAATTTTTTGTACTTTTAGTAGAGACGGGGTTTCACCGTGTTAGCCAAGATGGTTGTGATCTCCTGACCTTGTAAGCCGCCCACCTCGGCCTCCCAAAATACTGGGATTACAGGCGTGAGCCACCTTGCCCAGCCTGAATGTTTAACTTTTTAAGAAACTGCCAAACTGTCTTCCAGAGTTGTTGCACCATTTTACACTCCCACCAGCAGTACATGGGAGTTCCAGTTCCTCCACATCCTTACACTTGATGTGGTCCACACAATATATGTAACTGATTAACTGGAAAATGAACAGTTAGAAAAGTTAATTGCTCAGTCACCCAGAACAACCTTCCCTCCGGAACAACCTTCCCTCCCTCCCTCCCTCCCCCTCTTTCTCTCTTTCCTTTCTCTCTTTATTTCTCTCTTTTCTTTCTTTCTGACGTAGTCTAGCTCTTTTGCCCAGGCTGGAGTGCAGTGGCACGATCTCGGTTCACTGCAACTTCTGGGTTCAAGTGATTGTCCCACTTCCGCCTCCCGCGTAGCTGGGATTACAGGTGCACACCACCACGCCCGGCTAATTTTTGTATTTTTAGTAGAGATGGGGTTTCACCATGTTGGCCAGGCTGGTCTCGAACTCCTGACCTCAACTGATCTTCCTGCCTCGGCCTCCCACAGTGCTGGGAACACAGGCGTGAGCCACCGCGCCCAGCCCCTTTTCAGCATTTTCAAAACACCGACCTAGGTCTTCCTAGGTCTGTACTCCTGAACCCTCATTTCCCATCCCAGATGAGGAAGCTGGTCCCAAGAGATCACCTCAGAAAGGGACTCCCAGTTTGCCAGAGCTGAGTCTGTTTTATGTGGCCTGACCCTAGCCAGACGGACCAGGGACTTCCCCTGGGGTTCTGGCCCCTTCCCATGCCTTCCTTTCACCCTGCCCTTGCCTTGGGCACTGTCCTCTCCCAAACTAGGGGTCCAGGAAGGGTGGGAGTCTTCCCTGTGATGTCATAAGAACCAGTTGCCAGGGAACACCTGCCAATGTACACCCTAGGCAGGGGAGAGCAGGGCCCTGCTGCACCCAAGTCCTGGTCGCTCCTCCCCACCACACTGGCCCTCCATGGAAGCCTTGGTCTGTGCATTTTCTGAGCTGCGCATAAGAGAAGGTGCCGGGCTGCAGGGAGGATCGGCAGGAAGAGAGATGGACTCCTGTCCCCACCTGGACCCAAAGCCGTGGGGTGGCCTCAGGGACATGTATGCTTGGGAGAGGGGAATGGCCACTGGGCCAGGCCATGAGTCCCTGGGCTGGTCACTTTCTCTCAAACCCACTGTGCAATTTCTCTGCAGGGACCAGAATACTCTTTCTAGGGTAGTGGGCAGAACAGGGTAGTAGAAAGGATTTGAGGTCCTGAAAGCACTCTTAGTACCAAGGCCCTAGGCTTCCCAGGCCTCCCTGTTGGTTGGTAGTGGGAAAAGGAGTCATGTGTTGGGCATGGGCAGGGGGAGGCAGTGGACTGAGCCTATTTGACACACAGGTAAACTGAGGCCAGGCTGGCTGGGGGTGCAGCCCATCATGTGAGCTGGTCTCAGAGGCATGTGACCGTACCCTCCCCTCACGGCTGCTGTGGGGGGCTGGCCACCACCCTCCCGCTGTCTCCTCTGCAGATGCAGTGAGCCAGGCCCAAGGACGTCCCGGCCACCCCGACATACCCCCCAACATCTACGAGGGGGGCCTGGGGTCCCCGCAGCCGCAGTGCCCCAGTGCCCAGGGAAGCAAGCCCAAGAACTTCCGGCTGCGCCACCTCCGGGGCCTGGGCCTCTACCTGGAGAGCCACCTGCCACCCGCTGGCCAGTGTGAGAGCCACTGGCTGAGCCGGCTCATGGCTGGGGGCTGCCTGCCACAGTCTGAGGGCACAGCCTGGGCCCTGGACCTGCCACAGGGGACTCTGGGCCCAGGTAACAGCCTCTGCTCAGCCCTTCTGGAAGCCCGATTGCCCAGGGACAGCTTGGGAAGCAGTGGTGAGCTCTGTCAAGGCAGGACTGCGCAAGGGGGGAAGACCCTAGGGGATGGTTGGGCTAGGGCCTCAGATGGGCCCTTCTCCACTCCCAAGCCTCCACAGTGGCGCTATGCCCCAGGAGGCCAAGATCTTGATGAATCTGTCCCTATCCCTGTGTCACGCACAGCTGGGTGGGGCCTGGAGAATCCACCAGGGACAAAGAAGTGCGAGAAAAAGGGAGGCTCTGGGAGGGAGGTCTGGGTGACTGCCCCAGCTCCACACTCGGTGAGGGGCCTTGGAAGCTGTCTCCTTTGCTAGGCCTCAGTTTTCCCACTTGTAAAATGAGGATTCAGGTTAGATGAGGGTCCTTCCAGCTTGAACCATTCTTTTCCCTCAACCTCCTCCCTTCCCTGGGGATTCTGTCAGGGAAGCAGCATTGCCCCCTTCCCTTCTGTTTTCAAGAATATCGGATGCTGGGAACCCCAGGGTGGGCTGCCAGCCTCCCCGCCAGCCTCCCCTTGGGTTCCTCGAGTGACTCCTCTCTCCTCTTTCCTCAGCTTCCAGTTCCAGCATGGAACCAGACAAGGGTGCCCTCCCCAAGCCTGGTCCTTCTGAGGGCTTCGGACTCAGGCCCAAGAGGTCCTGGGGGGCCTGGGAAGAGGCCATGTGTCCCTTGTGCAAGAGAACCCGCTCCGGGGCCCTGGAGAGGCTATAGGGATCCCAAGTGCCAGTATTGGGGACAGGAGGGGACGGATGGCCTAGGAGGCAGCCCGAGCAGGAGGGGCTCAGCTCCCGGCAATGGCCCTGCCACATGGGGTGGCCCAGGCAGTGGCCCAGCGCCCAGGCCTGGGCCTCGGGAGAATGTGATGGGGAGTGGGAGGAGGAGGAGGTCCCGAGGGAGGGGCAGAAGCAATAGAAGCATGGCCATGCCCTTGCAGCCCGCTCAGACTCCAGTCAGCCACTTGTACCTGGGAGGCTGGGCTGAGTGGAGAATCAGGCCCCCTGCCTCCTACCTGAGAGGCCGGGGAGCCCACAGGTCTGATCTCAATAAAAGCCAAGGCCTGCACGTTCTTGTCCATCTGCCTGTCTGTCATCAGGCCAGTTTGGTGAGAAAAACAGTCCTGTGTCTCTCCAGGGATGGGTCTGCTGTGCCCCCTGCCCTTAGTTGCCAGGGCATGAGAGACGTGAGCTGGGACAAGGGCCTATGGGAACACCAAGGAGGTAGTCTGGGAGGGCTTCCTGGATGAGACACTGCTGAGCTTGGCTCCACAGGGTGGGTAGGGGCTCAACAGCCCACCTCATGAGCCACCATGCCCGGCTAATTTTTTTTTGCTTTGTTTTTATTTTTTTTTTGAGACGGAGTCTCGCTCTGTCACCCAGGCTAGAGTGCAGTGGTGCAATCTCGGCTCACTGCAAGCTCCACCTCCCAGGTTCATGCCATTCTCCTGCCTCAGCCTCCCCAGTAGCTCGGACTATAGGCGCCCGCCACCATGCCCGGCTAATCTTTTTGTATTTTTTTAGTAGAGACGAGTTTTCACCGTGTTAGCCAGGATGGTCTCAATTTCCTGACCTCGTGATCCACCCGCCTCGGCCTCGCAAAGTGCTGGGATTACAGGCGTAAGCCACTGTGCCCGGTCTAATTTTCTATTGTTTTAAGAGTTGGGGGGGTCCTGCTATGTTGCCCAGGCTGGTCTCGAACTCCTGAGCTCAAGTGATCCTCCCACCTCGGGAGGATCCTAAATGCAGGCCATGGCATTGTGGGTGGAGGGCACAGTGGATGGAGGAAGGCAGGGCCGGGTCACGGAGGGCACCAGGGAGGAAAGCAGCCGAGGCAGGGATGTGGACCTAGGCCCTACCTGCCCCCTACCAGGTGAGGTCACTGCTCTGCGGGACCTCAGCTACCAGGTCCCTCTGGGCAGGATGAGCACAGCCCTTTTCCTCCTAGCTGGACCAGACTCTGGACACCCAGGCGTGGGCTTCCTCTGTGCCGGGGTGTCTCCACTCGACTCTGTTGATGTTTGGGATTGGATCATTCTTTGGAATGGAGGCTGTCCTATGCATGTAGGATGTTCAGCAGCATCTCTGGCCACCACGCACTTGGTACCTGTAGCGCCCTCCTCTAAGCTGTGACAGCATGTGTCTCCAGACATTGTCCGGTGTCCCTGCGGAGCACTGTTACTGTGAGTGAGAAGCCTGCTGTGTCTTAGGCTTAGGTTAGGCTGTGTCCGCACCCAAATTTCATCTCGAATTGTAATCCCCACGTGTTAAGGGAGGGACCTCATGGGAGGTGACTGGATCATGGGGTGGGGTGGGGGATTCTGCCCTGCTGCTCTCATGATAGTGAGTTATCACAAGATCTGATGCTTTAAAAGTGTTTGGCAGTCGGCCAGGCGCGGTGGCTCACACCTGTAATCCCAGCACTTTGGGAGGCCGAGGCGGGTGGATCACGAGGTCAGGAGATTGAGACCATCCTGGCTAACACGGTGAAACCCTATCTCTACGAAAAATATAAAAAATTAGCCAGGCGTGGTGGTGGGCGCCTGTAGTCCCAGCTACTCAGGAGGCTGAGGCAGGAGAATGGCGTGAACCTGGGAGGTGGAGCTTGCAGTGAGCCAAGATCATGCCACTGCACTCCAGCCTGGGCGACAGAGCGAGACTCTATCTCAAATAAAAAATAAGCAAACAATAAAATGTGTTTGACAATTCCACCCTTCCTCCCCACCACCGCCTCTCTGTCCTGCCACCTTGTGAAGAAGGTGCCTGCTTCCCCTTTGCCTTCCGCTGTGACTGTAAATTTCCTGAGGCCTCCCAGCCACGTGGAACACTGAGTCAATTAAACCTCTTTTGTTTATAAATGACCCTGTCTCAGGTAGCAGTGTCAAAACAGACTAATACACTTGATCTGTTCCACCAGGCCTCCATCCTATGGGGAGAAGATGGGAGCACCTGGGTTTGCCTCAGTGACCTTCCCCTCTGGCGACTATAGCCTGGGTCAGGCTAGGGCTGAGCGCCACTGGGCTCCTGCCAGGTCACATGTGATGTGCCCAGGCCTGTCAGGCTCCTTCCCTTCCCCTGTACCCTGGGCCCACCCTGGACAGTTCTTGTGTCCCCGGGAAAGCAGATCCTGGAGACTTCAGTCCTTGGGTGGTTTTTGGGTTGTTCTAAGTATGCAGGATGGCCTGGTGTAGTGGACACCCAGGGCTGTAGCGGTCCCCAGGAGGGGGAGCTCTGGGAGAGCAGGTGTTTAGATGCTGCACCCAGGAGCAGCTGTGATGGGGCAGGTGCGGGTGGGATGCAGCTGGCCTGAGGTCCACTGATGAGTCACATGGGGTGGTGGAAGGGCAGCTGCCTTCTCTCTCTCCCACAACACTCACTCCCCGAAGACGCAGAGGCCAGGTGGACCCAAGAGACCACTTAAAGACGGCCATTAGGGAGGCTGCTGAGGGAACACCAAGTGACACCTACCCCAGCCACCAGCTGTGGATGCCGGGCAGAACTGAGGCCGTCCAGAGGCCAGCAATACAAAGTCCTTGGAGTCTGGAGACCATTAGGGGCCTAATCCACTCTTTTTTTCCTTTTTTTTTTTTGAGACAAGCTCTCATTGTCTCCCAGGCTGGAGTGCAGTAGCATGATCTTAGCTCACTGCACCCTTGAACTCCGGGGCTCACGTGATCTTCCTGCCTCAGCCTCCTGAGTAGCGGGAACCAAAGGCACTTGCCACCATGTCCAGCTAATTAAAAACTTTTTTTTGGTAGAGAAAGGGTCTCACTATATTGCCCAGGCTGGTCTTCAACTCCCAGCCTCAAGTGATGCTCCCGCCTTCACCTCCTGAAGTGCTGGGATTATAGGTGAGGCTCCACACTGGGCTCTATGTTTAACAATCATAGCTCACTGCAGCCTTGAGCTCCTGCGCCAAGTGACCCTCCCATCTCAGCCTCCTGAGTAGCTGGGACCACAGGTGTGGGACACCATGCCCAGCTAATTTTCTATTTTTTTAAAGAGATGAGGGTCTCACTATGTTGCCCAGGCTGGTATTGAACTCCTGAGCTTAAGAGACCCTCCTGTCTTGGCCTCCCAAAGTACTGGGATTACAGGCCTCTGCCACCACACCTAGACTCCACTCACTTCTGAACAGAGTGGAGGCTCAGAGAGAAGCACCGTTTTCCCCAGGCTCCAGATTGTGTGTGTGTGGGAGGGTCCCAGGCTGTGGTCAGTGGCCCCTCTGCTACCCCGATGAGCCATGTGTCTTGGTGTTTTGGCCCCTGTGTAGCCCCCTCCCCCTGAATTGGGACAGGCTCCAGATCTTACTTTACCAGTAGAATGTGGCAAAAGTGGCAGGGTGTCACTTCTGGGCAGTAAGGAAGCCTGGCAGCTTCCCAGGAGGTCAGTGGCCCCATAAAGAGTCTACCCTGGGACTGTGGTATGGTGCAAAACCAGCCTAGCCTGAGGAAGCCATGGAAGGAAGGAGCCAAGCCCATGGCCACTGCTGAGCTCACTGAGGGCAGCCCTGTGGGTAGGGCCATCTTTCACACAGGTCCTCCAGCCCCGCCAGCCTGCCTAGCTAATGCCACATGGAGTCCCTGCTGACTCCTGTCCCAGCTAGAATTGGAAGCAAACAGAATGGCCCCTGCTTAGGCTGTGAAACTTTAATATAGTCTGTTACTCAGGTGGGTGCGGTGGCTCACACCTGTAATCCCAGCACTTTGGGAGGCCGAGGTGGTTGGATCATGAGGTCAGGAGATCGAGATCATCCTGGCTAACACAGTGAAACCCCATCTCTACTAAAAATACAAAAAAAAAAAAAAATTAGCCGGGCATGCTGGTGGGCACCTGTAGTCCCAGCTATTCGGGAAGCTGAGGCAGGAGAATGGTGTGAACCCAGGAGGCAGAGCTTGCAGTGAGCCGAGATCGCACCACTGCACTCCAGCCTGGGCGACAGAGCAAGACTCCGTCTTAAAAAAAAAAAAAAAAAAAAGACAGTCTGTTAGCCACAGACAGCAGTAGCCAGGATTTTACCCCTGAGAAAGACATCTGCTGCAGCCACATGCTGGCCCCAAAGAAAACTGGCTCTAAATTGGCCTCTAGACAGTTCCTCCCGCAAAACCTCCCAAAGCCTTTTGGAGAAGCACTCCAACAGGCTGAGAGGCAAAAAACCCACAGTCATGGTATGCTGGGGCGGGAGTCCATGTGGAGAAAGCAGCACCTGGCCTGAGCAAGCAGACGCTCAGGAAAACACACATTGACCATCCCTGGGCACGCCCCTCACCCTGTGAGTCCCTGAACACTGGTGGGCTGGGAATGAAGGACCAGGACTCTGTCTCCATCCTGGAAGTATGAAGGACCCCTACCCTGTAGGAGATCCTTGGGTGGTACGTGCAGGGACCGGGGAGACCCAGGGCTGCCTCAGGCTCCACCCCTGAGCAGGACTGGGGCAGAGCCGGCTCTGTTCAGGGCTGGCCTCTGTGCTATGTCTGGGTGCATCCCGTGTGAATGTCCCATCTCTCCCTGCGTCCCACACTCCCTTTCTGCCCCCCAGTGGAGCAGGAGCATTTGTATCCCAGCTCTGCGGTCTGGTGGGGCTATGGTGAGAGGCCTGGAGCAGCGACAGTCCTGCCTGGACTCACTGAAGCAGGGCCTGAGGAGCCACAGCTCCCCCAACTGGGCAAGTTACTAACTGGTCACACGATTGACCAAAGGCCCCCAAGAGTTACCCTCTTAAACCGCAAGGTGACTCATCAGCAAAGGTGAAACTGTCCTTGCTGGAGTAACCAAGACTGTGCTTCCCCAGCAGACGCTCCCGTAGGCAAGCTCAGCGGGTTAATCTGGTTTCACTCACCCCATGGCTTTGGACATGTGTCCCCCATGCCCAGCTGCCTGGCCTCCCAGGGCACCAGCTACTCCTCAGTAGCTGCCTCAGACCCTCTCCTGGGAGGACCCTCAGCAAGTTGCATGTCTCCCGGCCACTGGCTGAGGTCAACAGCACAGGAAGGGTGTATAACAGAGCAGCCACGCAGGCTTCAGCGTGGTCCAGGCCTGGGCCCAACACTCACAAACTGCATGGCGCCT